TAATGTACAGTTATGTGTCTTTTTTCGTTTTGGTTAGACCATCTTGTTATTACAGTAGACTTTGTAAGTGGATATTGAGATGGATGGGATATTAGTAATTATAAAATGATATGAATGGCATGAATGGTATGAGTGTATTATAATATACTATAGAATAGAGAAGAGTAGAATAGAATAGAATTGTCACGATTCATCATTAGGATTAGTGTCCTGAGGCAAATAGAAGGGTCACGTGATGGATAGACTGGATAGACTAATCTATCCAGTCTAGGGGATAGCCTAGTCTATCCAGGCCATCCAATAGCATTCAGGAGTATATAGTCAGAGTAGTTTCATAGTATAGGAGCTTGGTGCTCAACTTAGTTATCAATTAGTTTACCTACATTCTACTTGATCTAGTAACGACTTCACTTCCAAGCGAATACCCAGTGATAAAAGCCTTAATCCACAACTACCAACCAGACGAAACCTTAGGCAGCCGCTGCCTCCAGTACAGTATCGTTACACTTTGTATGGTATATATATGATAGAGTGCATGGCGCAATAAGTACAATAGATAATCTAGCTATAATTACATGAGAGATATATGCAGCGCTTGCTATCTCAGCCCTTTTAATTTTTCCCTTTTTCTTTATATCTCGTTTGTGAATTCCTCTAGTCTTTCCTGCGCAATATATAGTCTTATAGAGGTCTAGCTCTTATGTTTAGATTGGCGAGCTGGTAACCAGTAAATAGCTCATCCAATTCAAAATACAATAGTGATCGCAAAGTTGAACTTTTTCGACCTCCATCTTCATAAAGTGAGACAGACACCAGTCGAAATTGAGGTCTCAAAACACCCCCCGAGATCAAGTCCCATCAATTAACCTTCTCATCTCCGCCTCTTCTCTCGACCACTCTTCTATTCCCTCAGGAATTTGTTGTTCTTCACCACCAATCCAGAATTGTCCTCCCTCCAAAGCTTGTCGTTGAAGTTCCCAATCTAGATCCATATCTGCTGCCACCTCTGCTCCTGTTTCTGTATGATCCCATCCATTGATTGATGGTGGTACTGAGGCTGAAGCTGATCCTGATCCTGATACTGGTGTATCAAGGTTAAAGTTTGTTATTTGTAAGGCGGGATCAATCATATCCATACTCATATCCAGACTATCCATACCCATATTCGTGCCATCATTCATGAAATCTAGACTTGGTAATTCTCCTCCGGTATTGGTGTATGAAAATTCGCCTAGAATCCTCATATCCATATCCAAATTCACATTCATATTAATTTGTCCATCCATAAAACCCACATTCTGATGGTTAATTCTCATATGTTCATGAAAATCATAATTCCTCATAAACTTATGAGGACATCCTTGAACCACACAATCAATTGTTCTCCTAACATCATAACCTGCCAATTCTTCAATTTCAGTTTGCTCTGGAACCTTTCTCGTAGAACGTTTTGGTTGTGAAGCAGTCTTCCGTCTACCCTTTGAATTTAAAAGACTGGGTAAACCAAGGTGAAGAGTCCGAACATGATCTTCGAGATTAACTTTTGAGACAAAATCTTTGCCGCATGAATCACTTCCATCCCAGGATGCGAGGTCGAGAATTTGGGAAACATCATATGTTCCACAAATAAAACGTTGACCATCATGAACAGTACGCATATGAACTTGTAGATTTGCTCTCTTTGTAAAAGTTTTCGGACAACCAGGATAATCACAAGGAATATTCTTGCGTTCTTCGAGTGTACTCCCGGAGTGTTGAGTATCAATATGCTTTTGAAGTAATTGTTGACTAGAACATTTTCTATCACAGAACATACAATTTGCATGTTCTTTCTTGATATGTGCTTGTAACTTGGCATTGGTTGTGAAAGCTAAAGGTACAGGCGTACCATCTTCGTGAAATTTTCCTGGTACTGTACATTCTTCGCATAGAAATGTTGCTGCCCCATGAGTTCTTTCCATATGCTTTTTGAGTCCACCTGAAGCATCGAATCCTGCTTTACAAAGTTCATTTGTGATTGGATCAATATATGTACATGGAAATGGAGCCAGATCGAGATGATCGGAGCGGATATGTCGTTGAAGCGTTTGATGTTTTCGAAATGTTTGATTGCAGGGAGGATAAGATGTGCATCTAAATCTCTCATGACCTTCATGAGCATCTTTATGCCGTCTCAACCTCGTAGCTGTTAAGAAACTTTTTGTACATCCTTCCCAATCACATATATATTCTCGCTCGTGAGTATGAGATCCCTTGATATGTTGCTTCAAATGTTTCTCCTCAATATATGCCTTCTCACACCCTTCATACGAGCATATAAATGGTCGTTCATTCGCATGCGATCGAAGATGTGCTGCTAATCTTGCAGGTCGATTAAATGTTTTTGTACATCCTTCATAAGTACATTTTATCGTTTTATACTCGGATGGAAATTTTTTTCCAGGCACAGGAGAAAATGGAGTGTTTGGTGTTTCTGCAGCTTCCATAGTATCGTCTTCCGAGACTTCATCTTCTTCTTGGTGGTAATCATTATCATTGTCATCATCAGGAAGATCTATGGAACCGTCAATCCATCGAATCCTCAAAACAAGGTCTAGACCAAGAACTATTTGCACTAACCTGGTAGAGAGCTAGAGGCATCAATTCGTAATCTTTTCGTAGAGAGCTCTAAAGAAGCATCTCCTCTTCTCTTCCTAGTAATTGTAGCCATTGCCAATTCCATACGCTGTTGAATTGGCTTTAAGAATACTCAATTCAAACTCCGTCACCTTATCCGAAATATTTCTAAAATTATTGTGGCTATCGACAAAGGTCGAAATCTTGGCACGCCAATGACAGACAAATACGCTAAGCCCAAACCTTAAATTATATGGAGCTTGAATCGGAATAATCCAGGCGCAAAGAAATCAGCCGCGCCAAATTTATTTTTGAGATTCTTCATCACTGACAGAGTCTCCATCAACAAAGAAAACCCTCAACAACACCCCAATTACTTCAATTATAGTATATCAAAATGTCTGACGACGAAGGAGATTATGATGGAGGGTGAGTTCTCTTTCCTTCCTCCAAGGAACGCACGACGACTCATCTCTCATCCGCAAACCTTTTCTCGAACCTGAACTAACCTGTTCCTCCCAGTTTCTCCCCAGCCTACGACGCAGATGAGCCCGAAGAGCCCGACTATGATCCCGAAGGAATTGAAGACACCAACAACGTTTCCACGGGCGAAGTAGACGACGTGGCAGTATCGACTCAAAATCCCGACCAGCTACTCACTACTGGCGAACGCGGCGTCGTAACATCGGGCGATTTACATGCTGCTAATCGAGCTAAGAGCAATATCGCGCCCAAGGACAAGAAAATTCCCAAGGAGCAAAGAACTACTACTCCCTACATGACCAAATACGAGCGCGCCAGAATCTTGGGAACTAGAGCCTTGCAAATCAGTATGAATGCGCCGATTTTGGTTGATCAGGAGGGCGAGACGGATCCTCTGCAGATTGCCATTAAGGAGTTGAGGGATAAGAAGATTCCGTTGATTGTGAGACGTTATATGCCTGATGGATGGTGGGTTTATCTTGATGATTTGTTATGGGATTTTACTGATATTTTTGATAGGTATGAAGATTGGACTTGCGAAGAATTGCTGCAGTGAGAGGTGATGGTGTTCATTTTCTTACATTTGTGGTAATACTTATGGAGAGACGCATGGAATGGGCGATTGGCGTATGAAAGGCGTTTTACTTACAAGTAATGGAGAGGATTTACTTTGACAAATACATAAAAAATTGGACATGGATGGCGGTATTATATGCTTGGAGGCATTGCCTTAATTGCAATTCATGCGATGCGCCTGCACAGCTTCAATCGAAGCATAAGCACCCTTATTTACTCGAGAATTAGAGTATACATTGCTTTAACTGAAGGGTGGACGTACTGTTTTAGTTCTTCAAATTTCTGCATGAGAACTATCTCTGAGGAATTAACCTCACGAATTTGTACTGGGAACAAAAATATCAAAAAACCATGATGGTGAAACAATCACAATCTACAAACCTTCCCAACACAAGACAGATCGAGCTGGAAGCTGGCATATTAATTTGGCATTTTCGGGACAGTAGAGTAGAGTAGTAGTATTATTTTACATCCGGGAGATCTCTCAAGAGTCAAAGGGTATAAAGATATATTAAATCAAGGAATCAACATAACATATTACTTACAAAAATCCTTTTTTTTTTTTTTTTTTCAATAAACTCCAGATTTCGCAGTATAATTTGATAATATATAGTACAATTTTAGAAAAACTATGTAAGTTATTGTGTATAACGATATGATATACCTAAATACCTAGATAGTAATCCACTGACTCCATTCAAAGTGGATATATTAGTGGGTGGTGAGTGGAAAAGAAGCCTCAGGAAGGAAATCAAAAAAATTCTTGCAACTGCCGTGAATCGAACACGAACCTCCACCTTGGAAGGGTGGAATCCTAACCATTGGACCACAGAAGCTAGGCGCTCTTGATTTATGCTTGCTAGTGATTTAATTTGATACTTGAAGTAGCAAATCTTTTCTGGTGAATCGTTTGCATTATCTCTATTTGTAGGGCTTTACAGTGGATTTTATTGTGTACATACAGACAAAATATAGGCTACCTCTACATGAGCGATAAGTTTTAATATTCAGGCTTAAATCAATTTTTATATGGAAAATAATCACAGATTATATATCTACAGCTTGTGCCTATTTACATTATCATTCCCGCTTCTATGAAAATCAGTTTTTGTTCCTTGTATTTTTGCAACTAAATCAGAGGACATACTATGCGAATAAATATTTAGCAGCATGTTCAATATGGTCTCTTCCAAAAGTCGAAATGAAAAAGTATGAGTGATCGTATTCCTATTCGAAGACATTAGTTTCCTTTTCCATTTCTAGCTTCAGGAACAAGACATAAACATACCTCTTGATATCTCAATGTTAGATTCCCATCATTCCTAGACTCCTTTGCTGCAGCCGCGAAATTTTCAGGTAATAATTGTCCCTGTTTATAAAAGTTGTCTCCGGTTCCCTGCAGTTTCCATCCGTATTAGCCATCGATTCCTCTTCGCCGTATTAATGCATAAACAAAACCGAATGAAACTCACCACATCAATCAACGCCGGAAACTCTCCCTTAAATCCCTTAATCAACTCCGTCGCATCATGCTTCACCCACTCCTCTTTCTTCCCCTCGCCAAAATATCCTGTAAACGCCTTTTCTCCCCACGGACACTTGACTGGATTCGAAATTGGCGCAAAAGCACTCACGCTCTTGTACATCCCCGGATTCTTCAAAAATAGTGTAAGAGCACCATGTCCACCCATCGAATGGCCCATAATACTTTTTCTTGAGGAGTCGAGCTCTGGGAAGGAGGAGAAGAGAGAGGAGGGAAGCTCAGAGGTGATGTAGCTGTACATTTTGTAGTTGGTAGAGTAGGGTGGGTTTGTGGCGTCAATGTAAAATCCAGCGCCGGTGCCAAAGTCCCAGGAATCGTTTTCGCCGGCAATGTTTAGGCCTCCTGTGAAAAGATAGATGATTAGCTTGAGGGCCTCTCAATTGTTTGCTTTTGTGCTATCTCCATTCCTCCTCATCGTCTCCCTGAACCCCAACCAATCAAGACAAAAGTGACTCGTTCCCTTCAAGCCTTGGAGAAACTTACTCGGACTGGTATCGGGATAAACCACCGCGATTCCTTTCTCACTCGCCGCACTTTGAAAGAACCCTTTCTCAGCCCCATTATCTCCTGTACATGTAAGACCCGCCAGGTAAAAAATGACGGGCACCTTTTTTTCCGCAGAAGCTTTAGGTGGCAAGTAAAGATTCAATGCCATTTCACAACCTACTGTGCTGGCATTGTGAGTGAGTTTCAGCAATTTGCCGCCGAACGAGGAAATGGTTGCCGTGGTTTTGAAGGACATATTTGCTTGTGTTTGAGATGGATCTGAGGGGATGGGGTTTGTTTGGTGGGAACAATTTAGGAAATGACGGGAAGTTGGTAGAGGAAGATTATAAAGAATAGAAGAAGAGAAAGAGATGGAGGAAAGACTGTTGATGGCGAGTTAATACAATGATGTGGGACATGACGTTTGAGCTTGTTCGACCCCTCCTTCGAGCTTGAGGTTACCCCACATTAATCGGACGTTGCTCGGAATTCTGGGTAGAGTTTACCTTGTTGGTATTGATGCCTGCTATAATAGGAAAACGATTCCAGTGGACTTTTTATTTGAGTCCCCAAGTCTCACCGGGAAAAGATACAAGGTTCAACGAGGACATTCGCCAAGCTGAATTTCCACATGCAACATCTGTCTGTATCGGAGAGTGACGATATGGCATTATAAATGTCTTTCATTCCTCTGCAGGTCTGTTCTGTCTTCACGGGGTATCTATTTCTCGGACTTCCTTCAGCCCTCTCATGGCCCTGTAACTGCTCAATCCAGTAACGGATCAATGCAGTTCCTAATCCCTAAACAATTGCACCCAAGCACCCAAAGCACCCCATCGAATATCGCCATGATCATGATCTCGTAATATCATTAAAAGAAGCCAACGCCAACCTGCAACCAAATCCATCTCTTACTACATCAACTAATCCGTCTTCCCATAACCATCGCATCACTATCAGCTGAGACATCTCTCCCGGCACTTCCCAGCTTGACTCTCATCTCCGCTTCTGCTTCCCTTTTGATTCGGATAAAAGCCAATTTTTCAAATCGACTCAAAGCTTTCCACCAATGTCGTCCGGCCTCATGGTCGCTAATTCTCTCCAATAAATCGACGACTCTCACTCGAACATCTCGGTCTTTGTGGAAAAGTCCGAGTGCAATATAGAAGAGGCCTGCATGTGATTCCGGTGCTACGGCTAAGAGCTGACATATTTCATCATAAGAATGTGTATATTTCTCCATAGCAAGATATATTTCACGACTTGTATGAGGTGTAAGTTTTGTCATTCGGAGACGATCGTGCAGATGATGGAGATCGAGGGCTTTGAGAGGTTTAAAGTTGTAGAGTTGCACCAGATCCTAAGTAGTATAAGTTCACAAGATCATGAAATCCAAGCATAAGACATACCTGCTTAAAGCTGTAATAACTTCGAGTACTTCTCCAGCCCTCAATTCGATTTACATTACTAGCAAGCTCACGTAACTTCGATTGTTCATCAGGCCAAACATATCCATGGCCACTGACATGCTCATTGCCAGGCTCTGCCTTTTCTACCCCGATGTACAAAGCACTCGCACCGTAAACACTCTCCTCAAATTGAGCCGAGATTCTAGTGAACTTGACCACCCAGTCTCGCCATTTAGCTCGAATGACACCTTCGCCATGTCGAGCAGCGATACTGCGGATCACGTCATTCATGAATGCAGCATCGCCTGTTGGGTCACTGGCTGCTTGACTAGTTGACGTTGCAACATTCGTGGCACTGGCATAAGCCGGATTTTGTTGCTGGAAGTTAGCAAGTCCTTCTGTGAGTGGTGCTGGGTCAATCCGACTACTGATCTTCATTCGTCCAGAGGGAATATCACACAGTAGGTCCCACCATTCTGGATGATTTTCGAAAGTTGGATTTGTTACACCAGCTATGAAACCTGGCACTTTGAGGAGGTCGTCGATTTTGCTGAGATCGGTATATGGAAATGCATGGCGAGTAAATCCACGCAGAACCCCACCAGATGCTAAAGCGCAAGCTGCAAGTACAGCTTCAGCGACCTCACCTGATGGACGATTGTGACCCAGGAAAATAACACGTTTTTGGGTTAACATGGCATTGACTAATACAATAATAGGATGAGTATGTATCCCTCCAGTTGTGAGGTGAGGATGTAGCGCAAACGGAATGGGAGATTTAACGTGAGGGTCGTTGTATGTCTGGATAAGTTTTACTAGGGAGAAATCCCCAACGGTTTCAGGAGATACTGCAACGGGAACCTTGATGGGTATCGGGATTCCATTATACATGACTTTGGTTTCAAACTCATGTGTGTCCCGAGGTACAGAGTAGTTCGAGTGTATTAGTTGTTGAACATGTGCTTTGGTACCATTTCGCACCAGACCTGGTCTCCTTTCTGGGCTTTCGGACATGGCTGCCATATCGTCCGGCGCTTCCCCCTTGTCCTCTGCCATACGCATTTGAATCATCTGCTCAAATTTTTCTACAAACAGATCTTTGTTGTCGCTCGCTTGTAGAAGATGCCGTTCGAGTAGGCTCAGCCTAGGCATTAAAGATAGATCCATTGTATTGACTGCCTGATATAACTCCGCCAGGGTAGATAGTTGAGGCGTTTTAAAATACTCTTCGAGAGCTAATAGTAGAAGTGGCTGTTAAGTATTATTAGTATTATTTTCATTCCATATCAGACTCAAAATGACCCACCTTATAAATGTGCAGAAATGGATGTCGAGTACATATAGCCATGGCCTTTACTACAGCTCCTCTTTTGGCAGTCTTATCTTGTTTGGTGTTCACAAGATTCAACACATATATTAGAGGTGGACCTTCTCCTCCTTCTGGCTCATCATCTTCCGACGAATCCTCATCACTGTCCTCGACAGGTCCCAAAGGATCAACATTTCCACTTTCAAAGAGTGCTGCCCTGGCTTCTTTCTTCGCCCGTCGTAATCTTTTTCTTTTGACCTTCTCTTCTGCCTCGTCTTCGTCCTGACTCGTATCTTTATGTAAGAAAAATATCGTCCAATCTTGGTTTCGAACATGGGCTTGATCCGGTAACATCAATTCCGCTAACATATGTTCATCGCCCGTTATAGCAACGGGATACTGATGTTCCATAATTGGGCCTTTATCAATATCAAACGATGCTACCAATATGTATTCGACATGGTTCTCGGTATCTCCTCGAGGATATTGCGACTTCAACCTTCTCGCAGGGTGTGCTCCTGGGTGATAATTATTTGGCGGGGATAATGAGGAGTGTTGTGATGATACACCACTGGTGGGAGTTTTTGAATTGACGGTACTAGGATCCGACCTGCGATCCGTGTCTATTGGGGTGGGATTGGGACTTCGTGAAGGGCGACGCTGCGACATGACTGAAGGTGAACGAGAGGATGGAAATGAAGATAATGATGTTCGCCTTTGAAAACTCCCATTCGAACTAGTCGTTGCACTTCCTATTGTACCCCGCGTGGTGGGACGAAGTGCTTGCATCGACATGTTGGTAGAAGTGGCCTTGCGGCTTGAAGGCGCATATGGAAGTGCCGAAGCCATATTAGAATCCTCTTGGGGACCAAGAAAGCATTACATTACTAGGTTTACGCTAGTACGAGTAACAGTCCCACTTGTGAGACTTTTCGAGTGAAAGATGAGGCCTTAACTCAATCCGTGCGCAGATCGCCCGCTGATGAATTTTTGGACTTCAAGGGTTATCGCCGTCTAAATTTCAAAGGACATTACCGGTAGTCTGTCTAATAAAATAGCGAGGAAAGAAAGAAATGAAAAGAAATGGAATGAAAAGAGACCAATGCTACTCGAGGACGGAGTATGGATAAATGATCGAGAAAAATAAATAAAGATAAAGTAGGAAAATGTGAATTGAAGTGAAAAAGAAAGAAAAGGAGGAGAAGCTGAATAAGACGAAAAGATTTCATTCATATCGTAGATTCATGGATTCGTGGATCATGTATCATGTAGTCATGTACTCATGTAGTGTAGTGTTATTCATTGTAGCTTGTAGCGTACCATTTAGAAGATGGAAAAGAAGGCTGTTGATAGATAGATACAGTGAGAGAGTAGTAGAAATACCCTTGTCGACCTACCTGTCAGTGTCAAGTGTGTTATTTTCGTGTTGTGTCTCTTTATTTCGTGCCTCTATTTTCAGGGGTAAAATCCTAAAATGGGGTCCAAACTGGGATTCGCCGATCGGGTCGAGTTTTAGCGCAAGGCTTTCATAAGGCTACCCAAGATATGAACATCATTGGTTCAAATTCTATTTTTAAAATATCAAAATCACCGATTAGTCAATTTTATCATTATTACGTGAATTGGTCAAAGCTAGTGAGTATTTCCAGAGGTAGCCTTGCGCTAGGAGGAATCATCTACTGTAATGATAATTTAATTCACCGATGAGACGGAATTGATGATTTGACAACCTTGCTTGGCTCGCAACCAAACCTCCAATTGGATTTGTTTACACCAGCAACCAAAACCAAAACATTCAGCCTTTCATCTCCAGCTTCTCATCCACGATAATTACCTACTTCTACCTTCACACAACATCATATCATCCATCCAATTGATTTCAATCAAATTTCGATCCCATTCTTGCCTTCCTTTCTCCAATGAATATACCCAATTGTACCTACCTAACACAACATCAAAGATTAACCAAAACCGTACTCTCACTAAAATTCATCAATTATACATAACTCTCTTTATACTCGATTTCTGGGGAATATTTCGATTCTCCGCAACAACCATGGTAAGTTGTTCACCGTTCCACTTTTCGAAAGTCGCGGTTTCCAACTCTTCGATATGATGAATGGAGTCCCAGAAAAAAATATGCAAGACTAACGCACATTGACTTTGGCTAGTCAATGTCTGCTTCCTACAAACCATCACCGCTCTCTTTCGGTTCACCCCGAGCTTCGCCATTTCGAAGACCTGAATCCCAATCTCCTGCCGCAGCTTCTCCTTCTCCTCTCAGACAATCGACTCCGAATCCAACACTTGTAGCTGCAAAAAATATGTTGACGCCAAGTAGATTTGGTAATTCTGGTACTTCCAATTCAACAACTGAGACAACTACGAGTAAATGGACTCCTAGAGGTGTTCCTCCTGCGTTTCGTGAATTTGAACCTTCACCTACAAAAGGCGCAAACATGAGTCCGGGATTTGGTGGCCCATTGAAGGCTGCGAATTCCAATTACTCTAATGATGATAATGCGATCTCGAAATTATCGCAGGCGCAAGTCAGAGAAATGAGGGAAGGATTTCAGATACTGGATAGAGATAGTGATGGACAAGTTGGTAGAGAAGATGTAGCTGATATGTTGACACAATTGGGTATGTTCACGTTGATAATCCTTCCAACTACTCCAATAAGCTAACACTTCTTAGGTCTTTCCTCCAATGCTTCAGAATTAGCTGGTTACTTTCCGCCGTCGACTCCGCAAACCGTCACACTTCCTACATTTCTTAATTCGCTCGCTACACTTCTCTGTACCCTTTCGCCAACACCAGAACTATTAGATGCTTTCTCAGCATTCGACGAAGATGATAGTGGTCAAGTCGACTATGCAGAATTACGAGATGCTTTGATAAACACAGCTCCCGATCCAGGTGTAAAACCTTTGACAGAACGGGAAGTCGATAGAGTTATGGGTGGATTTACAGCACGAAAAGCTTTGTCAAAACATACAGGAGCGATGGGTGGAGCTAGAAGGCAGGATGTATTCAAATATCAGGAGTTTATTGCTAATGTTGCTGGAGGATCCGGAGCGGATGGAAGAGGGGAAAAGGTTAGTGATGATGGTGATGAGTAATGTTACATATGGATATATATGTGTGTATGAAGTAGTATGGGCAAGGTTTGGCGGTCAGGATTGGGGAATGGCGGTGGCTTTGTATCGGCGTTTCTATGTGTAATAATCGGTTGGTCGGTCCTGGACAATGAATGAGACCAAATTGGGAGGAAGGTTATGGTTTCAACTGTAATTGATGTTTCTTATTTGTATACATGAATATGGATTATTTGGAGCAATTTTCTAGATGTGGAATAAATACCATATCTCATCCAATTGACAAAGTGCTTGAAGTTAGAATTTATCGAATTATCCATATAAACCCCATGAGCCATGTAATCAATTCCTGAGAACCGGTGAATACAGAGAAAGAGCTTAACTTCGGAATATAGATCAAGTATATAGTATGGAAATCAATAAATAAGGATATCTGTAGGATGTTTATGAGTAAAGTGTACTAGTACTATTTAGTATGTATTAAGTACCCAGTATAGGTGAATGTTTAGAGGTAGATTGGAGGTTAGAGGATAGAGGTTATAGATAAGAGGTTATAGATTAAATGGATGGATAAGTATGGAGATAGATGGGTAGATAAGTATGGAAAAGTATGGGTAGGTACCTGGGTAATCTATCTATCTTGAGGGAGGAGAGGATGAAGTATTAGAGCGTGAGTGAGTGATTGGAATCTGAATGAATTTGAAAGAGTAATTAAGTATATAGTTTTAAAAAGTTAGAATATAAACACAAATAAACAGATACTACTAGGTACTAAGAAGACATTATTATTATCGACTTTATAATAATTCCCGATGTGTTTTCCTCGATATAATTAAATATAAAAGATAATATTCTCTTATGATCAGATCAGATGTAATCAATCAGATCAATATCAGATTAGATTACTGAGTATGGTGATAGATTAGATTAGATTAAATGAAAGAATGTATTTATTCTTTTTTATCTATTTTCTATCTATTTATCTATCTAAATATATTATTAAAACAATATTTTGATTAGTATCAGTCACTATTGATCACCACTATATATCAAATTTCCACCTTATTATTTTTAATCTGTGTATTTGCCTTTTGTATTTTCTGTTTAATATCTAATCTCCATGTATTCATTCATCCAATTCATATCTTCATCTTCATAATCGTCATCATTTCCATCGTGAAATCATCATCGTCATCGTAGGTAGTCGTAGTCGTAAATCCCATCTGAAAAGCAAGGTAGTAACAAAAGGCTGAAGCGAACAAACTCCTTTTACCGTTCCATGCATGTATCCTATCCCATCCTATGCTATGCTATGCTATCCCATCCTTCCTACCCAATAAATAAAATGAAGAAATATCCAAACTCCGCTGTATGCACTTCTTCATTTCGATTCAATCAAGTCACACTCGATTGCAAGCTAAGTCCGCTCATCCACCACTCACTCCATTTTCTTGCCCAACTTCTCCCCCAAACCATGAACCTTCTCGCTAATCGCATGAACATGAACATGTCCATTCCCATGATCCCCAACCATCGGCGGATTCTGTTTATCCCACGTACTGGCCTTACTCATCGTCCTCTTCCTCATGGTCGCCATAATCTCCTTTTCCATATCATCACTTCCGCGCTCGAGATCAATGTCCTCTAAATTATACCTCCTCTCCCGTTTCTTTTCCCAAATATACCACCAGCCTACTATAATCATTGTGCATGGAATTGTTACTGCCCAGTAAAGCCAGAAACTTTCGCTTACAGCTGGCGTGCCATCGTTTTGGAAATTGAAAAAGGTCATGGAGAAGACCGAGGCGAGATAGGCGCCGGGGAAGAAGATGGCGCTGAGAAGAGAGATTGTTTTCATGGTGCTGGAATCGCGCTTGGCGGCGTGAGCTAGTTGACGTTGTTCTTTGGCCATTTGGAAGTTGAGTTTGGATTCTTTTTGCGCGATGATGTTATAGAGCTGGTTTCTTCGGTTAGTTTTGCTAGGGATGAGAAAAGGGGAATACGCACTGCACTTCTCTGGATGTCTAATCTCTGTAGTGTTGTATACGCGTAACTCTCAATCCCCTGAAGTTTCACCCGATAGAAATCGAATCTTGCCAACATACTAGCCTGTAAGGCTCTCATCGATGCATCTTTCCTCTCTTCTGGTAATCTCTCATCAAACATCTTCATCGCCTTCTCAAGCTGTGATAGAATCTGCAGGTAAGCTTTCGGTCTCTTCCACAGAACCTGAGAATGACATTCAACCAAATCTCTATTGATAGCATCGAGATCGATAACACCTTCTCTCACATAACCTTCTTTCTCTTCAATTTCTGATCGCATAGATACAGCATGCTCAAGTTTTCGCAACCAATCACGTGCTTCTCGTTGCTTAAGATCAGTTTTGAATGATATATCGTGGGAAAAGATGATAGCCGGCAAGAGCATCGGATGTCCAATCTGGAGAATACAGGCTTTGAGATGTTGAATGGATTCAACCATGTCGGAACTTGGTGTGCCTTTCGCATATCCCGTCGTGATGCCATTTTTGATATCATGCGAGAGAGTAAGTTCCCAACCACGAGTCAGACCCTTTTTCCGTACATCGCTCTTACGGTTTACAATCTCTGATGGATGTTAGTTGGGTGTTGACAGAGACGATAAAGGAGACTTGCGTAGATGAGGGTTCTCTTCATCCTGATCATAAGCAGCCCAGAATATTGGGCCGACGGCACTTCCGGATTCGATTGATCTATAAGGTAGGTTCATAGTCTTCACCATGGAAATATATGTGGAAGATGGGAAACTGAGGACATTGGGGGCGAAAGTGTCAGGATGCTTAGCATTTAATTGAAGACTGTAGAAATGTTAGTACCTGAGCAAGAAAGGTTCGTCGATGATTACTCACATCAATCGGACGCAAGCTATCTGAGCTACTCCCTCAGGTAACTCTGGGGGAGCGAAAGCACCCTATAGAAGAATGAGCGTTAATAAGATATCATGATGACAGAGATCAATCCATCTTACCCTTCGGTTGAGGAAATTCTCAAATTCATCCGGAGTTAGAGGGTGTTCTTCTATCGAGTTTAGAGATGAATCCTAAGAAGCATTAGCAACGGCTTTTCATTACTATGAAAAACAGTTCTTACCGAATAGGATATCATCTCCAGATAACTGGTATGTTCAGTGACATTTCTGCAACGAGCGACATTTGTCCTACGAGAAATCCTATCAGCAAACTTTCCAAACCCGAATCCAAAATTTGCAATACACACGTAAACATATAATCATCCATCTTTGCTAACGTTTTGGTATCAAATGCGATTATGAGATCCCTTTCTATCAACGATAGATTCTGAGTTGGTTATTCAAAACTATTCACCATATCAAAAACCACTTCTTTTTCCACGTAGCTCAACAGTCGGAAAAAGCCTCGATCCCAAAAGCCGCTTTTCGATTATATTAAAGGCTAATGCAACGTATTGTAAGGCAAACTAGAAGAAGACAAAAACAGACAAATGAGAGAAAAGGAGAAGTTCATATCCCAGAACAAATTCGTCCGGTACATGGTACGGCTTTGACGAGAAACCCCGCCAGAAATCCGTGTTGGCGGGCAAGTCTGGGTTTGATAGATAGATAATGGCAGTGTTACTTGTGGAGATACAGTGTGGAGCCAAGCCTGTGACTGCAAGGAATTTTACTACTTGCGGTGAGAACTGCATGCCTAGGCTTATTGAGGCTTTGATCAGTGATGTCCAGTGGTGTTCCGTGGTAATTTTTTTTTAATAAAAGGCTGGAGAATGGATTATAAGGTTTTGAGGGAAGTTTTTAATTGGTGCGTTGTACGATCTGGGGTTCACCGAGTAGACCGGACTAGATTCTCTCATGGAAAAACATCAATATGATTGAAGAAAACATTTTTAACTTTTGATCATCTCATATATGTACTTTTTTTTTGGCAGGCTTCACTTCATAATCCCGTTTGTGGCTTGTGTTAATTAACGAAAACCGTTGAGAGATATACATACAGTAGTAACAGTACTAATTTCTTATCATTGATTATTCCATGAATTCAAAAGTCTATTTAATGTACCCGACCTTTCCAACTCTTACCCAAACTCCATCCGCTATGCCCTTAATAACGTACAAAATGTACAACATTTCTTACAATCGTACTCTTCCTTCTTGATTACCACCACCAAACCAGCGAGTGAAGTCACTTCCACCCCGGCTTGGCTGTCCGTCATCCTCGTCATCCCCTCCCATCCACTTTGGTTTCTTAATTCCTTCAAGGAATCGTGGTGGTTCAAACGTGTCGATTGTGTTCCTCATTCTATGGCCTAATGCTTCAAAAAAGTTCTCTTCTTCTTCTGCTGGTTCAACATGGCGTTGTTGTGGTTCAACACTAGGTCTTGAGGTAGATGCTGTGCCAAGGGCTCGCTGCCTCTCGGCTCGCGGTAGGGTCAATACAGGAGCGGCACGATTATTTGGATTGTTCGGAACTGAGCGTCGATCAACAGAAACTTCCCCAAGTCCGCCAAGTGACGAATGACCCAGCTCACGCTCAATCAAATTGCGACCTTCACGCCACGATCCAGTGCCATAGCCACTCTCATTGTCTTCATCTTCATCTTCAATAACTCCTCCATACCCTACACAGTCTTTCACTTTTCCATAGAGGTTAAAAAGAGTTGCGCACACAGGAACTAATATGAAAATTGGGAAAAACCAATCAAACCAATCCCCAAGAGGTGTGAAAACAATCAGCTTTCCAAGGAACTTGTAAAACATTGTCTTTTTGTAAACATCTGGTGGAAGAAAGGTAATAAAATTGAATGAAAGTGGAACAGAAAGCTTGGCTACTTGCATGGCAAACCACATAGCGGCTTCCCCATGAGTGTTCCTTCTGACGAGCGCGCGCCCTCTCCATGCCTTGACTTCAGAAAGAGAGCTCAAAGCTGCTGCACACATGTATAAAATCCAGAAAGCTGCAATCATCTGTCCTGCGAATCCAATCTCCCCTTTCTCGCTATCGCGATGATGAACGACGGTAACTGCAATTATTGAGAAAATTGGATTGATGGACTTGATAAATTCAGACCAGATGATGCATATCGAGGCCAGAGCCAAGATAACGCCCAAAGTGATTTTCGAGTACGGTAAGAAGTAGTAGTAGAATAGGTACCGAGCATAAGGTGTGAAAATAGTGATTCGATCGAATATAGAAGAATGGGGAGAAATTTGGCCAATTTCAATCTTTTTTGATGCGGCTGAGTCCAATATAGCCTGTGTTTCCACAGCATCTTTGAGGAGTCGATCCCATTCATCAAGGTACCGGGCACGACTGTGCCTAGCTCTCGTCAGCTGGCGGCTTAGATCTGCCAAGTATCGTTCCGTAATGACGTTGGGAATAGTAGCATTTGGCTCAGACATTCGTCGTGCTAAAGTTCGTGGTCGAGCTTCGGGTAAGTGTGTCTCATCCGCAAGTTCCTCGATCCAGTCCTTGAAATCTCTCGCGGTACCAGTTTTTCTTTGAGCCAATTGTGCAACCTGTGCCTCCAAATCCTCTAATTTCTGAATCGCATCCTCCATATTTTCATGAACCTTTGGTGCCCGAGTTTGGACCCTTCTCAATTTCCCACTAATGCTTGCATTTCTAAATAGGTTTCGAGGTATCGAGACAAGCCCATGACCCATAAGATAAATAGCCAAAACCAATCCCCAACAATATGCAAGGGCCATGACCACACTCTTCAATGACTCGGGAGATACCCCCTGTTTGATAAATATGTATAACATTGTGGCAAGACCAGCTCCGAGAATAAGGGCTTGATACTGGGCATTTGCGCGCAAAGAAAACAGTAGACGCCCTTTTGGATCTCGGTATCCGGCATCAGCGTACTCGGCGAGAATTGGTAAAATGAACCTATTTAAAAATCAGTACGATCCCAAGTAAAGAGAGGCATGGTGCATTCGAACCAAGTCAAGGCAAATGTAAGCCAATATGTGATGCGCCAGGCGACCAAAAGTACTCGATCGTAAAGCCATATTCCTCGACTTCCTGCATCCTCAGTCCTTGCACTTGAAGCAAGATCGATAGGAACCAGTAATACGATACTTGCCGGCAACCAAAGGGCGAAGAAGATTGGAACGAGAAGGTATGCCGGAGTGGTGCGGATAGGAAGATAATGTCTTAGTATAAGTAGTACAACTAAACTGATAACGAGCAAGGAAATCAGAGCAAATATCTCGGAGCCTATCGGCGATGAAGTTGCCAAAATTTCTATCATGATGATTGTATCAAAACAGTAGTAGAAAGTGTTTCCATTTGGCAAAAAGTGTGAATGATCAAGAACAGAATGAATATATAGGTAGTTATCTGTTGTTCCTTCAGCTCCTGTGGTTGAGTGAATGTTATCGGGTTCCTGGAAAGTCCCTACCTAGTATGATGAACTCACGCTATAGAAGTACGGCCCACTAAAGGACTACTGAACTACTACTTTAGTGCCTCATCATCCGCTTTTGTTAGTAATTCATCCACAAAGCTTTCATGCTAAACCAATTACGTACAAGACAAAATATCATGTTAAGCAATTAGCTAAGCATTTAGTGGCCTTGCAAAAGAAATACCGGTCCTCCGACAATCACATGTGCAGATTCAATGAACCCACCAACCCACCAAGCCAAAGAGCAAAAAAATAAAGCATTTTGAGCAAAGAGCAAACAGGACAAAGTGGTGTACCCACAGTCATCACCACCAATTGCTGAGCGCATCATGGCTAATGAACCTCAATTGCATTCACCTTCAACAACTCAAAACCGAGAACCTTCAGTCGTGAATATAGGTACATATGGTAATGATCATGGTAATGGAACTGGTAACAGAAGTGGAGGTTTGGGCAGTTATCAGTCACGTAAGTAATCAAAGTCTCAGTTTTTCAATTTGATACTGACTCAATAGCAGACACGCGTGAGTTGACCGTCAACGACATTGCGGACATAGATGATCCGATAGAATTGTTGGAAAAACTTACAAACACAAAATGGGACTCTCGCAATCTGGAAACTCCTTCTTCTACACGCACAAGTGCACAATTCGCAAGCCTTTTAAACGCTGCCGAGATGGCTGGAGGGGTAGATGCTAGGCGATCAGGTACCCCATCGAGTAACAGTGGTAACGGACAAAGTACTCGAGGCTCGCCAGCAAGGACATCTTCAAAGCGTGGTAGGGATGAATCGGAAGATCGAGCAGAGGAAGGAGGGGAAATGTTTGGTTTCATAAATGCCAAAGCTAAACCAAGAAAAGTGCGCAAACTCACAGCGGAGGAAGAGGAAGAAGCTGCGAGAGAACGAGAAATATGGGGGTCGGAGCCTTCTGATGTTGATGATGATGAAGAGGCCGAGGACGAGGGTGAAGATTCGCAAGGCAAGTCCTCGGCAATTCCTGATCTCAATCCAAGAGCGCACGGCGTTCATTCAGCTGCTGCACTTTTCCGAAAAACATCTGCATCAGGCCGAAAATACACCAGTAAGTCTTTCGAGTATATTTATACAAAAAGGTGTCTAACCAGACCGTAGGACCAGCGATGTCGAAAGTTTTCACAAAATTGGAGTTAGCACCTGAAGATTTCATTACGCTCCAGGCTGCAGCCAAGGACTACATGCTAGATCCGAAACACCCAGATCGAAGCGCCTGTATTGGCACTAAAGAAAAAAGAGATAATGATTTGACGAAGCTGAAGCTCTATGCTTGCGTCAGGAATTTTCTTGCCGATGAGGGAGAGGGATGGGGGGAGAGACTTTTTGGTAGAAACTCCCCGAGTGGTGCTACAAGAAGATGGTTTTGGCCTGACATGCCAAACAAGTTAGTTTTGTGATTTGTAATTCTAATACTATCTTTGCTAATAATTATCTCCAGGATTATCTCTAGAATTACTCCTTTATTGCGTCGCATGGTTACCAATGAGAGACAGCGGTTATATGCCCTCAACCTTAGAAATCAAAAAAGGAAAGAAGAAGAGTTATATCAGTTACGCGCCGCATCCTTCAAAAACAGTCAAGCATCTCAATCCCCATTAATTGATCCTCAACTCACCTTACCCGATCAAAATATAGTCGATAAACCTATTGCAGACAATTCAGCCGCGAATATTGTAGCTGAGACGCAAACTGCCAAAGCACCAGAAGTTAGTGCTAAGCAGCCGGCACCACTTGAGTACCATATTAACATTATCCACAACGGCAAACGTATTAGGGACATGTTTACCTTGAATCCAACAAATTGTGTAGGCTTTGTAAGCTTTACTGCACATGTTGACGCAGCGATTAAGGCACCTTACAAGAAGACAGCTATGAAGGTGTTGGGCCCTAATGGCTTGGTCGAGGTCAGATCAGAGGCAACATATGCCATGGCTCTATTGTCAGTGAGAAAGACAGAATGGATGGATGGAGACGTCAAAATCATCGTAGAGACAACAAAGACCGAGTGATTGGGACAAATCTAGAGGTGCATAAGCGTAAAAAGGGACAGCGTGCTAAATGGAAGGGATTGTTTATGAAGTGCTTTTCATTTCACAGGTATACTCTTTATCTGTTTTCATTCTAGAGAAGCAAAGGACATCCTCCCTTCGCTTTCTTTTGATGGTCTGCCATTTATTGGTGTGAACCTCTGTGTATATACTGTAATAATTATAATAATACCTATCTGTGAATACCTAATTCATAGCTCTTATGCAGCTTATAGTACAATACAACACAACACAACACAATACTGCCAGATCTTTCAAATTGCACGAAATACTTTAGGTCACACAGCCTACTTGATTGAGAAGTCTTCTGGTGTGAATGCAAGTTCCAGACTTCGAAGCCGTGGACAATGGAACTAGAAGGTATAGGGATGATACCTAATCTACTCGAGAAACAACATGTAAACTAGGTATATACACCCTGCAAACGTACACACGAACATTATAATCATAGAAACCATCACAAAAATAAAAAACAGTCAAAGAGGGAGTTTTATGATATCTTATCTTTATATTAAACTAGACTAAGCAGGCATCTTGCGCTTGGCATCTAGAACTAACTACTCTCGAGTATGCAAGTATGTTTTCTTCTCCCCTCTTCCTCGTACACAAGAACTACATCTCTCCAATGTTCACACACACACACAGGCATTCCACTATCCCCGTATCCCAATCGTCAGGTGCCAATGCCAAAATACTAATACTTGTACTGTAATACAAGTATTTACCGTCTCCCACGCGAATACTACCATCCATCCATCCATCCAACCATCCATCCATCCAAATTGTATGCAGCCAGCCCCTGACCCACCATACCATCCCCATACCAATACAGTCCAATCCAATTCTCCAGTCCAGAAAACAAGGCAGATACACAAGCACGCGGCTAGCACAAACCAACAACACCACAGAAATACAAATACCTCAAGTAGGAAACAATAATGAAACAAAAATTCTCTCAATCCCATACATACGACCCTAACCCCATTTCCCATCCTTCTATAAGCTTTTTCTCCAGAAAGTCAAAATCCTAGCACCCGCAGTGCATACAGATTCAATCGAAAAAATACAAAAAGGAAAAAAAAAGAAAATTGGCACTAAGTGGCTGGGTAGGTAGATAGCGAGCTATGTGACCAAAACCAGCCAAAACAAATCCATCATATCGTAATACATAATCGCTCATGAACAAGAGATTGAGCGATGCAACCCCGTTTGCAACCCTTCATCTAAGTTCTCCTGGGTAAAAGTTCAAAAAGTTAAAAAAAAAATCCACCCCATCATAGCGCGTGGGATTGGATACCAGATGGTCCAATTCGCAAAACTACCAATAATGCAAGTGAAAGAAATGCGAACGCAAAAAATTGCTTGCACGAATAATGATACAGAAATCCACCCTCTTACTTTTCCATCTCTGAATGTAAATAAACAATTGAAACTTTTGTTTTCTTTTAATTTGATTTTGGAAGAAGAGAACATAGGAAATTCGAGTCGTGACAGCATAGCTCGTCATAGTGTGGTGCTCTGAAAGAGCGTGAGTGTTTGAGTAAGGAAAATTGCGGATGTGCAGGTGGTGGTAAAAATAATTTGGTACAGAAATGTACAATTACACAAAAATGTGTATAGTATATAAATCAATATTATACTTTAAAAAGCAGAATTTATTTTGAGGCAGTAGTGGGAGGGGCGGGAAAAAGATTGTAGCTTCCTCTGCGCTTGCCAGCCGCGGCCGCGGCGGTATTAGACAATGTGTTGGATCTTGATCTAGGCCCGACATCTTGGAAATTTCTGTCAGTGATGATAGGCGCAGAGACCTTTCGTCCGTGGTTGGAAATGAATGACTCGACCGAGGCAGGAGCATATAGCTCGCGAGAAAGAGCAGATCTCAGGCGTGGTCTAGCAGGAGGTGAATCGGTAAAGCTCTCAGCTACAGGGCTAAGGATGCTAGACGCTGCATCGGGAACAGCTGTAGAAATGGTGGGTGGAGGTGGAGCAAAATGGTTAGGGTTTTTGATTGACTTGCGTACGTGGTTGACCGGAAGATTCTGAAGCTCAGAAACTTCCGAAGATTGGTCGTCATCAAGTTTTAGGCTAGAAACTTTTGTTACGAGTTCCGGGTCAGATGTTGTCGTAGCGAGTGCTCCAAGTGTTCTGCTGTCACGTTTTGGGCGAAGAGAAGGGACAAGATCAGGCAAGGAGGATGCAGATCCAATACTTCTATGAGCTTTGCTCATGCTTCCTGCCTGGAAAATTAGGAGAGCCGAATCTTGACTGGATCGATTGTAGCGGCTACTAATAGTGCTGCTTCTGAGACTATTGTGTGAATAAACCGAGGACCGGTAAGAGGTGCTACTGGAAAGAGTTTCGTCTATTGGTGACGAAGGTTGGTCATAAGTATCCATGGGGTAAATAGACGCCGACGGGACGTTGTCATGGTGATATGTGTCAAACAAAGCATCTTGTTCGCTCTGTAGAGAATATTCATCCGAAGGAATGAGAAGAGTTGGGGAGAGATTGAACCCATCCGACTCTTTGAACGAAGATGCATGGGAATTGGGTCGCATGTGATTGGGGCGGAAGTAATCGGTTGGCGTAGGTAGAAATGATGATGCGCTCGACAAGTTTGACAGTGGAGAAAGTGCGGGAAGATCGAGAGGTGCAGGGACCAGTAAAGATGGACGGAATCGGCCAGGGGAAGCATGACGTTGGTTATCAAGATGCAAATCCATAGCGGGCTGTCCCACTTGGGCTATGACAGGTTTGTTCTGCTCAGATGTTTCCTCGGGTTGATAATCCCAATCTTCGCCAGCTTCATCCATGTAACAAAAATCGATCGCGTCTTCCCAAGAATCCGTGGTTAAGCTGAGCTTGGGTGAGTTGGGTCGTTTCAAAAATCTTGAGGTGTCAACAGAGCCAAGCCTTCCCAGAATCGGTGGCATATCCGGCATATGTGGAGCTTGCTCAAGTGCTCTCATCCTCAAACCTGGGACCGATTTTGAAAGTCGCAATTCACCATCTGTGCTCGACTCTCTCGATCGCGTCCTGCTCTGCTCATCCTCTTCGGGGACATCCGCAAGATCAACTCCAAAATTTCCATTTAATGGTGCAGACAAAGGCCATGCCTCCTCGCCGGGAGTCGTGACTGCATGGGACAGGTGCTTGGCAGATACGTCTGACTCCCTTCTATCCCATTTAGGTGGCGAAGGATGTGTCTGCGGAGTAAAATCAAACGGTGCTGATTCCTGGAGGTTGGCATTCAAAGATGGACCAAAATCAAGCGCGGTGGAGGGGTCGACATGGTTGAAGAAACTCGAGGCTGCTCTCGACGATGTTCGAGCGGGTGGATCAACCGTACAGCGAGGAGACTCAGGAGACCGTGATGGGCGTACAGGCACTGATCGAAGATTGTCATGTGACATGGAGTAATTAATAGGTCTCCATGGATTGTTTTGTGGTGGTGTTACAGACGCCCGATGTGCGGTTTGTCTTTGCGGGGTAACAGGACACGAAGGACTCTTGGGGCTCGTGGGACTTCTAGGCGCGTCAACATCGGGGGCATAGTCTATTGCTACCAAAGAGAAATTTTCAAACATGAGATCTCGAGCTCTAATACCCTTGAGATTCCCGCTCGTTGGAGCTTGAGATGCCCGTAAAGCCGAGAATTCGGAGACCAATTCCGTGGGAGGAATTTGCCTCAAGTCGGGTAGTTCATTTTGTTGGGTGTGTGTAATGTGTTGGAAGTTGTATGGTCCAGAGATGGTACTCTTTCGAGCGCGGTAACTGGTAGGTGGTGGACTGCGACTAGATGCATCGCCACGTTCCTTCTCTCCAGCACCACTCGCAAGCGATGTTGAAGATCCCCCCATTGAAGGATGATTGCGCCTAAACTTTTTACTGCTTCGGGAGAAGATCGTTTTTCCGAATAGGTTTATACTATCGGGTCTATCTTTCGCCGCCATACTACTGCCGTTTGATCTGCCAGAGGATTTTCGTTGCAATTCGATTCTGTTGGAGGAATCGAGACTGGATTGACGGGATCGGAAGGAGGAAGCTGAGGTGAATGAAGGGGTAGTCGATTTGGGGACAAAGGCCGAGCCCCTTCTCATCTGCTCAGTGTATGCGCGTATACCTTGAGGTGATGGGGGTCCATCAATGGCTGGCTCGAAGCTCTCGACCGGCGGGTACATGAAGTGTTTATCCGTTGGCGGGGCATTGTCTTTTCTAGACATCTTCCTCTTGGATAAGGGGCCGTTGTTATTGGGATGTGACGCTGAGCCCATGCCTGCAGATCCTAGACTGAACATATTGAATGATGAGTTGGACAGCTGTCAATGAACTCAATTGAAATTCTGTGGGGAGGATATATATCGAACAATGCGTCGACTACAAGGGAATCCCAACCCGATATGTTAAGAGAGATTGTGCTTATGCCTTCTGCTTCAGAAGACGCAATCATCGATCTGGGGCTGATGAGCAGGCTATATCGAGGCACGTTGCAGCCACGATGACGCCTTGTTGTTTCGGTGTTTGTCGATAAGAAAAAAGTTGAGGACTTTCAACAGTCAACAATGAGGGAACGTCCAACATAAAAGTGACGGGTTGAGGATATGGGACGACGCTCGGCTGGGGAGATACGGATCAGCATGTGCCACAAATAATATAGGCCTGTCAACAACAAGGGTTTCCCATTCAGGGTGTTTGTCAAGAAATATGGAGCCAGGAGCGTTTCTTCTTTAGCGATACAATCCAGCATCAAGGGTACTCTGCTCGGGATGTTGGAAAGACCGCGGAGGCAATATAAAGCCACGAGGAAACTAATGTATAATCCCCCATAGGACGTGGATACCAACACAATGCTCGCTCACCTTGGGTTGGAGATGTTGGTTTCAACACTTGGTATGCGAGGTATGATGTATATCTTATGTTGAGAGCTCTGCGTCCCCAGCTTTTTCCCGCCGTTGCGATTGGATGAGGTGTGAAGTTTAGGTAGAACAATATTGAATCGAGGTATATTCTTTCGGATCAATCCCCTTGGTGATGCATAATACCAAGGACGCCGATTTGTCTATTTTCATGCAATCACGGAGTTGTAAATTGCCCTGAAGAGTAAAAAGCGACCCGTATCTGCAGAATAATCAAGTATGATTGATCCAATAAGATGAAGAGATTGAAAATAATTAAATTGAAAATGGCCCAAAAGAGGAATTGGCAGACAATAAGAGAACAGGAAGATGGATCAAAGGGAAGGGATTGAATTGAATTGAATTGCTGGGAAGTGAAGGACTGCGAATACTTTGTTGCGTGTCAGCATGGACTGGCTATCGAGCTGTGCACCATGTATTGCTTGCACCGTAGCCACGAGTAGCCACGAGTAGCGACTGGCTGAACGACTGACCGATGCTGAACGATGCGACGATATGTTTTACTGCATCAATTATTGTTATTATTTTTTTTTTACCACTTTTAATCCATTTATTTTTTCACCTGATTCTTGACCACTCTAAAGGATCCCAATAGCTGGGAAGAACCCCATCCTTCTCTCGTAGGGGGTAGCCCTTGAACAGTGCCATGGCTGTATGAGACGAGGTGAACGAGGATTTTGATTGTAGGTTAAGGATTTGTGAGTGGGGATGAGTGATGATGGATGATGGATGATGGATGATGGGATGGATGATTGTGAAGGCTGTCAAGGTTGTCAAGTGTCAAGGTTGTAAAGTAAAGTACTCCGTAAAGTAGAGTAAAGTCAACTAAGTGGACGAGATTGGATCAGCCATGGAGTCATGGAGGGACAAAATCCTTGGACTTGTTGTGGTTCAATACTGTACGGAGGTACACAAGCAATTGATTGATATCTAATTGGTCGATTGTGAATAAATTCAATTGTTAATAAATCAAATAAATTAATAAGTAAATACAAGTTCGGAAGATCCCAAAGAGAGAAATAGAAATGATACCATGTCTACTACTACCTTGGTTCACGAATCACAATATATTTTCAATGAATTTTCAAGGTTGATTAGGTTAAGGTTTTCTATGAATTACTAGTAAGTTGTCCCTTTCCCCTGTACGGAGCAGAGTAATAAAGCCTTTTAAGCTTCCCAGCTCCATATCTTCCTAATTACCAATTACCAATTCCTGCACAACTAAGACTTATAAACACACAAGCAAACTTAATTCTATTCTCAATTCATAAATGAATCCTCTCAAGCTCTCACTCAGTAATCAAACTTTCAAGTGTTTATATAAGCTAAAGGAGATCATCTCATTTCATTAAATATATCACGGTGTCACCGAAGGAAGTCGAAATTTGCAAGCTAGCAACTTGTTTCCATTTCAATTGAAAATCTCCTTCCAGATATCAACGTCTCAATCAACAATGACAATGACAATGACAATGACAGTGCCAATGCCAAGGTTCTCATTTTGTGGAATCAATTGAATTCAATATTATCTTGAGGCTTGAGCAAAACATATTACTAATTGACATCCATCTTGCTAGAAATTAACACTTTCTATAAGGAGTAACTTTTCGGCACGGAAGGTACATCCGAAAACCTGACGCGTACGATATAACGCTTGCACGCTTGCTTCCGCACCTAACTTGCAAAATGTCTTGCACAAAACTCCACGATTCGTACTACTTTGCCAAAGTGGCTTCTCAGGAATCTCAGCAACTTCCCCGTCGGACGGCCAAGAGATAGCGGCTGAAGTCGTGGGTCAACGGCATATGGATGGATGGATGGACGGATGGATGTGGGCACCGACTGGAGTCAATTTTTGTATCTTTTGGGAACGAGAAGGCACCCATCCGTATCCAAAGTACCTTCGTACGCTTCGACTTTCCCTCTACGAGTAGTTCACGGTGCAACACAAACTTTTACGAGTACAGTACCTGCATACAAAAGAAAGCTTACCTACCGTTCCAGCTAGCCTTCAAGGCTTCATCATTTCTATCTTCAGCTCTCTGCCTGCATCATGTACAACTTATTGCCCTCAATTCGATGAATTCTTCCGAGATCCAACCGATTTCCTGGAAGACCTTGCATGAGTGGTCCAAAAGAAGCGAATCCGAGAAATATGTATGTCCTCTCCCCAGCGGTGTGTCTTTGTACATTTCATTACTTCCAAAAATGTAGCATCACAATATTTGGTCTCTGCATGACAGGCATGATAGACAGCAACAAATTCATATAATTCCCAGTCATTCCCAGGACAGCGGCTCATCCAATTTAAGCGCGTACTTTTCTGGTCAAATCATGGCTCAGGCATAATTTATATGCTTGAAAATTTGGAGATTGGGAGAGTTCTTGTGTGTTGGTTGGTTGCAAAATGGTTGCAAAAGGGCTTGAGAAAAGGGTTCCTGCAGGGGAAATGCATTTCTTACCACCTTCGAGAATAATTCTTGAGCTTTTTCTTGGCCTTTTTGTACACCACGAGCTTCAGGCAGCTATTTCATTATTGCAATATTGATTAATTGTCTATATGCTGCTTGCTTGCATATCTTGTCTATCCGTACCAAAGAATAATAAAGTACGTACATTATAACCCCCTGAAAATGATCTCCTGTGAAAAGCTCCGAATGGTCGATTTATTGTTACATGGAGGACCATGGAGGCCATGAAAATCTAGCGTGCTCCGTGGAGTCGTTGACCGGATCATCAAGACCATGTCTTGGGTTATTTCATACTCCCTGCTCATCTATCCTGTTCATCCGAAGTCTGAAAGAGTCTCGACAAAATAAGAAATCGATTAGATTACTGACTGATATCCTGCCGAAATACCCCCTACCCATCCAAACTTTAAAGTAGCTTACGACAATGATGTCCCCGGAAGCTTATCATCACAGTTTCATCCGTCCGCTGTACAGATCGGAATGCCGAACAAAGTGCAAAAGATCGACTTGGATTATTGTTTGCTTGAAGCTTATGAATTTAGAGTTCTTATTAGTTTGTCTTGTCAACGGTAATATTTCCACTTAGGCCTGTAAGACCGTTGGGCCTTTGACTAACTTTCCATAATGATTTTTCTAAAACTTCCCATTCGATCATGGCCGATTTTGTCCTCATGATCCTTAGGCTCCAACGGTTAGGGTTGCAACTAACAAGTTACAACGCTATTGTTCTCTTACACCATTGGCAAGAGCGGGAAAAGGTCTACGGGTCTTCTGCATGTTGAACCTAGGTCCCTGCAGGTGGTGTTATAGCTTGTTGTATTGAAACCTTGTCACGGTCATGGACAAGGGAGAGAGGGCGGTGGGGTACTCCGAGCCAGCCAAGCCAGCTGCTAATTATTGTAAAAGAAAGAGAAAAGAGAAGAAGAAAAAGTAAAAAAAGTAAACATGACAACTTTGACAAGGAAAGCAAAATCCTCCTCCCCATCATTCACACCGCGGTACAAGGAACTTCAATATCCTGAAGATCGCAGGGGAAAAGGTTAGATGCATTCATTACTATACCGAGATAACCAAAACCAAATAACATGTAAATCTTGTCGAACGAATGTGACGATGGACCTTGAAACTTTCCATACGTTGTTCGTGGGCTTTCTCGCGTTTCTTACTCTTTGAAGGTAGCACATGTACTCGAGTTCAAGTAGGTAAGGATTCTTGATATATATCAACAAAATGCATAATAACGGAGAGCAGAGCATGGTTACCACGTTACGACTGCTACGATGTATGACGGGATGGTATCTAGCATGCATTCATGCATTCATGCATTCGTTGATGAAAATTGGCAGCTAAGAAATTAATCAACAATAATAAGATTACCTAGTATGCTACACTTACACAGCACAATCAATCAATCAATCAATCAGCGCAGCAGCAGAAAATCATCCATCCATCCATCCATTCATCCATCGCTGCCTCGCGCCTCGCGGGGATGAAAAAGGACGGACGATGAGGAGAAGGTGGAGCGTGAAATAAATGTAATAGAGGGCCACAGGCAAACAAACCATCTTCCTTGAAGGAAGGCCCGGCTTACTGCAGCCATCGGCAGCTATCTTAAATAGTATAGTGTCGGGAATTTAGCTGCATCTAGGACCTTGGAAAGGCTAAGATTTCGGTCATCGGCGACCATGGATAGAAATAGCTGCGAAATGCCTGCGTGGTGCGGATACATAAATGCTAGCTAGGAGTGAGTGGTGTTGGTTGCATTTTACGGAGCTCATCTTTTCTTCTGCACTGAGCAGTGAGCAGTGAGCTGTGAGCACTCACTTCAATGGATATAATGTAGTTGAGAGTTTGAAAAGGGGAAATTGCTTGGTAGTATTTTTTATTTTATTTTATTGCTAGTGTGTTTGCTTGTGATGCGGATGATGATTTTTGATCCGCTTTTCGTTTTATGTCCTACTTTGAGAATAGGTCGAGGATGTAAGGTACCTATGTAAGGTACCTGCCTACTGGATTCTTTTCTATCTTATTACATGACTATACATGATAAGGCTGACTGGCTTGCTTTTTTTTTCGTCCAAAATAGTTTCGAGTTAAGGTAAGTTAGACAGGTAAGCTTTCTTTTATAATGTAACATGATGTTATTTCTAGATCTTTGAATTTAAGACTTTTCGTTTCTTTTATCTTTTTTGGGATTTTTTGATTTTTTTTTTTTAAAAAAAAAAGTCTATAGAATTTTAATTCTCTACATGTACTCGAGTATCTGTCATACTATTTATTATTCCCCTGTGAAAAGAGTCTCCCAGAAGCAAACAGAAAGACACATTATGAAATAACCCTTGATCATAATCCACTAAACAGATGAGGATTAACCAGTCTATTAGCCCAACCTATCATACCCTACCGCCCCGCAAAAAAAGTAACATGACTGAAAAATGTACCATCGTTCGGAATACAAAGTGCAGTTTATCCACCGGAAGGACAGCCATTGCACAGACATTGATGAAGGCGCAGACGCAGATATGCAGTAAAACTGCAAAGTGACTTGATACCTACCTCATTTCATCACATGCAGTCACTAAAGTCTAGATGCCTCAGATCTTACCCTTTCAAAATATCCTCGGTAGGTTTTTTTAATCCACTATCATTGAATTCCTTGGGTTTTTCGTAAAAATGTACCGAGTATTCCTATTCCTACTCTCGGAATGCGGTGGATTTTTCTAGGCTATGTTAGTTACCAGCTTCCGCTACGAGAGTAGGATCCATAATATATACTACTATTACTACTGCAATTGCAGCACGCATAGCCCCCAAAGGTGCGATGATCTCATGCTGAAAATCACATGTAGCTGAGAATAGAACATTCTGTTTCTTTATATTTTGCTCTTGTACGGAGTATTGTACTCGTATCCACGCAGGATCCACGAGTTCGTTTCAGGGCTTTCAGTGTTACGTGTTGGTATGGATGGATCTACAATATAGTTTCCTAAGCATCGCATATATCTCGATTCTTTCATCGTTCCTCTTGAATGCGTGCGAGTTTTTTATATTCGGTCTCGATGGTTTGAAAGGGCGAATGCTTGGTTTGGAACAAATAACTTTTTGAGTTTTTGGATTTTTTCAATCTCCGATTTCCCACCCCTCAGGTTTTTTTTTTCTCCAAGAACTTTTCAATCTGATTCGGATAACAAGAAAGGGAAAAGTAAAGCGTGCCGTCTTTGATCTCTGACCGACCTTCCTGAGATCGTGATTCACCCCATCACTCATATTCTGTTTTGTTCCGTTCACATAGATAAGAAAAGAAGTCTCCTATCCTATTTCACTGACCGCTAAATGGGAGAAGACAAAGAAAAGCATCTGCCTACACATCTGTACTCTTGCTTAAGCGCCCGGATGCTATTCCCCCACGAATGCATGTTGACATCTGCAACAATATTTTACAAGTCTCACCGTATATCCTCTCGTCATATGTAGAAAGTCGAGCTCGAGCAAACAGCTTATGCAAGGTACCGGTAAGCTACTTTGTTCAATCTATCAAGAACTTCCCTGTCCTCAGATCACTGCCGAATCTCCACACTATGTTATCGAGGGCGTTTCGTCATTCACTCAAAGTGTTACACGTATGTATACATGCGGAAAGGAAAATACGCTGCTTTCTTATTTCCATAGGGCGGAGGAGTTCATCTGATGAACAAGGAATGATAAAATTCAAGCATCCAAGCGGATTTTCAGATGAGGCAATCGGTGAAGATTTAAGTTCGAGAGAGTTTTCGAGAATGGGGATATTGATCATGGGGGTACTGTGAATGGTGATATCAACGTACATCGTTATTCCATTTTGATATTGGAGTGATGATCTCTTCAAATGGGCCCTGTGGTATGACTCTATGAGGCTCGCGGATCATGGTTTATATCCTAGATGCCGGTCAAAGTCTATTTCTTGATGCATTCTTTACTCCGTCCGTAGTGTTCTCCCGCAAATAATGCTATGATGTGCATTGGGGTACGAATCTCATTTGTCATTCATATCTTTAGTCTATGAAATGCATAAGATGAATAATAAATCTTAGGCATCTATTAGTCAAAGCCACAAATCAGATCAAATCAATAGTTCCACCCAGACGTTAAAGTCCCTCCGTCCGGGACAGAATTCCGTCCCAAGAGCACATTCCAGACTCCATCAGTTGGGATCTCGATGTACTCTTATCTCCGATTTTGATTCCCTATATCTCAGCCTGGTATAGATGAATTCACTCTATACGAAAGTATATTAGATCACTATGTCACATACCACCATTCATATAGCTAAGAAGGGGTACGTCTTCATCCTTACCCACTCATACGAAATATTTAGCTGGGCATGAGATTAATCCCAATCAGAATGTCTTAAAATATTGTCCTCTAGACCTTTTCATTTTCACGAGGCGAGAAAAGTCAAATATTTCTCTCACAAGGAAAACGGAGAATAAATATATATCTTTATTCCGATGCAATAATGAGCGATATTTCTTATAAATAACGTTTCCGTTTCATATCGCCGTGGCCGCCGCGATTGATTTTTGTTTTTCTCTCGTCTTCGAAATTCGTTTCGTTTTGTTTCGTTTCGTTTCGTTTCATAATTTTTCCGCCCGTCGGCTTTTCCGATGCAGGTACCCACTGCCTGCGTATCTGTCACATCATGTCAATCAATCCCCAAGCATGCGCCATATTTATGCAAACTGCAGTTCATCCCAAAATTTAAATTCTTTATCTAGTACGTAGTACGTACTGATTAGTACAGGTATTAGGTAGTTAGTGCATACCAGGCACATTCATCTAGAACAAAAGATTTTGGTACTAATATTTTAAACTTCAGAACGGCACTTGGCGTTTCTTGAATGAGATGAGATGAACGAACGAAAGAACGAAACGAAACGAACAGACGCCAATAAACGTGCATGCAGGTAAAGTGAGACATGGCTATACGTACTGAAGAAAGAGACAAAGTACCGGTGCTCGGGCCGCGAGGTTTCGGCGCCACCGTGGTTTTGTGGATTTTTGGAATTTGGTGTGGCAGTGGATGAGGCGGAAAAAGTTTATTTTTCTTGAGTGCGTGCTGGAAATTCTATGTACGGAGGAAGTTCTTACGGAGAGTTTTGGATTGGAATTTAGTGTCGTTGGATGGATGCGCTGGTGACGTTGGTGGCGATGAGAATTAATAGGTTGAGTTTTAACTTGTGGGTTAAATTACAAATGTGATTGTCACTTGAATGTATTTACCCTTCCTTACCCGATCAATGGTATTTGAATGCCAACATAAGACCGAGAAGAGAAGTTAATTTCTATTTTCTATTGTATATGGTACCGCTGTGCTAGTTAGCTAGCTATAATAGTAAGGAGACTGTAATGGTGATGGTGAAATGAAATGAAATGAAATGAAAACTTAAGCTTGGCTTGGCTTTTCTGGAATCCTCAATCCTAGGATTCTAGGACTAGGAGGGATTGTACTTTGGAGTCTTGATGCTGTACGTACAGGAGTAAGTACAGTACTCGTATGTACTCGTAAGCTTGGGGTTGGCATGTTTTGTGTTGGGGGGTTCGGTGGGGGGGGGGATTTTCTGTGTATGTGTGGTGGATGTGAGAGTTAGGGTTTGAACTTTGAAGATAGGGATACTGAGAATTTGGGTATTTTCCGTTTTGTTTTTGTGGAGTAAGTTACTGTAGGGTGGGATGTGGAATGTTTAGGGGGGGAGAAGTTGATTGTTCTTTTGTTAATGGTGGGGGATGGTGGGAAGTTGGAAGGGAATCATTGATTTTTTATATTGCTGTAACTTTTTTTTTTTGGAGTCTGAAAGTTTGAAAGCTCGGAATAGCTTCTAGTAGGGAGGTCCTGTTGCTGTTGCTGTTGCTGTTGCTGCTGTTGATCTAGTTAGGGTTAGAGGGGAGTGGAGGGGGGGGGAGAGAGGTATTGATATTCATACATTTCTTAGTATCTCAAGTTTGGATTTGAAGGGAAAATGTCCAGATATCAACGGTCACTCTTATAGCTACTTATTTTTTTATCCGTCGCATATATACACTCAAACTCTCACTGAGAGTTTAATTTCAAGAGCTTGAAATATAGGTATGGTTTTGCTGATGCTAGGAAAGTATTGATATCTGTGGCGTGTGTATATTCTTAGCGCCTCTTCTTTTCTTTCAAATTTTTGACTACTGTTCTTATTGCTATTCTAGTTTTTATTTCTATTCCCATTCTCCATGTACTACCTTTCCAGCTTTTCTCCTTTACTTCCATGCGTATAACAGCCACAAATTTAAAGACCCTCTCATACTTCAATATTTCTCCTTAATTCCCAAGAAATGCACCATAAATCGACCAATATATGCGGCTCACAAGCTTAAACAAAAGTACATAATCTATTCAATAATAATCTTTAATTCCACTATAAGAATATCCAGTACCTATACATCGTGCTTAAACAAAAGCATCATATATAGCCGTTTTCAAAGCCTGAGAGATCTCTATAAAAAATAAAATTATCAGACCAGTACAAGAATTTGAGATTTTTTGGTATCTTAATTCATCTGTTATTCAAATTTCAGAGATATTCGCTCGCTTGGCTTTGGTGATTGCTAAGATATATATGCAGCTTGTACTTGCTACACTGGACTCATAGAGATAAGATAATGTCTCCGCTCTTAATGTTGGATGTCGGGATTTAGGGTAGATTTTCGTTCTAAGATAGGCTGGGAGGATATGAAGGTCGTTAGGGTAGAATGGGGAGTCCATTCCCCAGAGAAATCTATAATTTCTGTCAGATGCAAAAGTCTGCTTAGGGATTATGATCTGTCTTTATGGTCCTTCTTTTGCACGGCAGAAATTCAATCGCTGTCATTAGATATGTTTCACCCTCGGAGTAGTAAGAGTGTGATGGTATATGTCTCTACGCCAAGTAGAGGGACTGAATGACGTCAAGGATGTAAAATATAGATTCTTTTAATTACTACTGCTGGATATGAGATAACCCGTGGTTGATATGGAGATGGTTTTTGAAGATTCATGCATAGGGCTTCTGGCTTCGAGCACGATCTTGCTCATGTCCCAAGGAGTCATGTCCTCTACCTTTGAATCAGGAATTTTACTGTCAAATATGCGCTTTATACACTTCCCGGTGGCTTTAAGAGGTACAGAGTCAAGGAATGGTGTAGGATTGATCCATACTGCACTTGCAGAGGGAATGGAATGACCTTCAAGTGGGAGGCTACTAAGATGTGAGTTTTTAAGATTTTGCACATCACTATAAAATCCCCGCCATGTTTCCACAGGTGCTGAGGAAGTTTATACTTGATTATTTGGACCGAAAATGGTAGATCTGAAAGATGGGTACGAACAGACTGAAAACAACTGATTTTATGCACATGATTTGGTGATATTTTGATACCGGCGACCACTTTTCTCATCGTCAATGACAAATGTGTCATTGATGAATGACAAATTTCGGTTCATTACCTTATATTGACTCTAGTCAGTGCTTGTACTGATGCTGTTGCCAAAAAAAGTGCTACGTGACTTTCCGAGTAGGTCAAAAGGATGTTGTGGCTTGAGCTGATTGAACAAATAACAAGGGACAGTTGAAAGGTCACAGAAAGGGGAGGAAAGCAGAACAAAAGGACATAAATATAGAACTGGTATATTTCTGAGCACAAGGATATACGCTCATGGCAGTGAAAATGTCTGAGGAAGGGAAGAAGAGAAGCAGTACTTTGCTATTTCCATCATGATGGAAATACTTTCAGGCATATCTAATCTTCTTGCGTAAGAAACTTCATCAGTCATTACTAAATTAACCTTTCGCAAATTTCTACGAATGGGATTTTTAGATTCGATATTCCTCCACCTGGATTCCTCTATAGATAAAATGGAAGGAAGCTCTAAGTTCTCTGTATAATTAAAACGATCACAAATATATCCGCGACATATAGGGGGGTCATTAGAGTTTCCGACCCAGCAATTCTGTACTTTTGAATAAATATCAACTTTGATACTGATAATATATTTTTGACAATCACTAGAGGTCAACGAATGGAGGTTACGAGACAACGATGCGATCAGATGAGGACAAGACTGAGCTTCTGGGCTGCTATTCATCATAAGCATCGAACCTCATTAATCGTGATGGTAAGAAAACCCATCCTTATTGTTATGAGGTATAAGTACATTCTTTCAGTGAGGGTTGGATAGATGTCAAATAACTTCGGATAGGTATTTATGGACAGCAAACGGGCAATGGAATGGATCGCTAAGGTTCATTTGGTTTAGCGCTGTATTCCCTATCGTCCCTTATCTTCCTATCGACTCCCAATTTGTGTCACTGGAAAAGACACTGTGAATTTACAAAAATGACCTTATCATTTGCTCATGCAGAAAAACATTTGTATTGCAAAGAATCTCATAGCTTTGAGATGGGTTAGCAAGACCATAGATAAGTTACATCCTGTTCTTCTTTCCTTGGACCTTGGAGAAAGAAAGCAACATTATCTATCATCAGGATTCGCTCCGGCACGATTGAAAGGCAACAATTCCTTCTAATCTTTTTTTCGCTTTATTTCATGACATTGTACAATTCACGTCGATAAGTATTTCTTCTCAAATGCAATTACTTTCATTGTGAAAGGTAATATGGAAAGCCATTACAGTATTAAGTGTGAAGAGTTAATTTTAGACATCAAGCCGCCATCCTCATTATTCTCATTTCCATTTCCATTTCCATTTCCATTTCCGTTTCCGTTTCCGTTTCCATCTCCATCTCCGTTTCCTTTCCATTCTCATTTCCAACCTCAACATTCCATCATTATTATAGCCCTTCATATCCTTATCATGATTGACATTCGTTCGGTGCCTAGAAGGCAAAGATAGCGGCAAGACCGAGGACAAGAACACTTCCTAGACCGGCTTTAACTTGAGCTCCAGCACCGGTATAGGGAGTGATAGAGGAGGTCGGTGTGGAAGGTGCAGTAGCGTTGGAGCCAGTGCTACCAGTTGGGGCAGCTACGCCAGAAGTAATTGGAGTGAGGGTGACGACAGCAGTTGTTGCTGGAGTAGAGGCAACGGAAGATACTGGAGTCGAAGCAGCGGAAGATACTGCAGTCGAAGCAGCGGAAGATACTACAGGCGAAGACTCGGTGGCAGATGAATAGGAAGCAACAGCGCTGGATGATGGAATAATTGATGCAGAGCTGCTGGGAGCGACATAGGAAGACGATGGAACAGAGCTAGCGGATGTTTGTTCACTGGCCGACGAGGCAGGAAGAGAAGCACATGCTGAGGTAGCAGCAGATTGAACGGCTAAAAAAGGTCAGTGGGATCAATTCGAAGGCTCAATTATAGTACTTACTTAGAGCGACTGTAATACCACAGGCGTCGATAACGCAGGTTGTAGCAGCATTTTGAATCTTCGAGACGTTGTCAGGTATGCATTGGCAAGCAGTATCAGAGGCTCCACAAGTGGTGGCCTTTTTTACTGCATCAGCGATGCAAGATTGAGCGCAAGTTGGAATTCCAGCATATTGAGCACTAGCCAAGCTGGCAATGGCCAAGAGTCCGGCAATGGTGAATTGCATTTTGAAGAGTATTTTGAGTGTATGAATTGCCTTTAAAAACGAATGATTGGCAACAAAGAATGATTGTTGATAAGTGAGCGAGTGCGTTTAATGTTAAGAGATGGAGAGGTAAGTCACTCAGAGTTGCAGACTGCCAAACTTATATACATGTGAGTAAGGCTAATACGAAGTTCAATTTAGGGGATATTCCATGGATGTCTAACTATTCCACCATTCGGTAATAACAATCAGCCAAGAGACAAAACAAGCGTTCGTTTCCCATCTTGTAACAATACCCGTCAAGGGTTTCAATGAGCAACAAACAGGGTCTCGAGTCAGCTTGGAGAAACCCGGAATGTTGCGCGGGAGAACGCTATTCAGTAAGCTTTCGAAGAGCAAGTATATGTTATGTGGCAATGGGGACTTTCCAAAATGGCCACTAATGAGGTAGCAAATGTTTTGTGGTTGGAGCAACGCATCTCAGTGATTAGAGTACACGTATGATTATTTGTCGGACATCGGATTACCCTCTTGTTGTGACGCAGGAACACCACGATTAGGATCTGCTGCCGAAGTAGCCCTCCAATGGGGGGTAACATTCAAACTCTTACAACAGTGGCCAATACTTTAAGCTCGTATTGCTCGCCATTATAAAACCCAGAGGCGGGATTAATCCATTAATTTTGACTTGATTGGGGGCAAAGTCTGGGGATTCTGGGGTAGGACAAGGATGATTTATGCAAACTTTGGGGTATGTAACCAGACCAGTCCAAACTCAACTAATTCGGTAATCTCCTCCGATACCGAGGAACAAACTCTCTTCTTTTACATCTGATCTGATTTTATTATTTACTACCTGGGCTTTGAACTTTTGCGCTTTGTTTCTAGAAAGTTTCTAGCTCAAGCTTGTCCTCAGAAACGCTGTCGATGCATTTGACAGAAAAAGTATTTTCCGAACTGCATGCACTGATCTCGATACCAAAAGATTTAATTCTAATCTTACCCCTCGAGGCAAGGCATTTGCAGGATTGAAGCTGATGAAAATTGAAAACAAGCCTTCCGTACTCCGTATTTATTGACAAATCAAATTGGAGTAAAGCTTCACCACCACCAACAATTAGTCGGCCCTCCTAAGTCTGTGCAAGTGTACGCTTTTGGAACATCCAACACGAAAATCTTGTGCTGGGATCCTAGCATTTTTGTTGATTCGCATACACGAATCTGATTTACATTATTACCCAAAATTCAGACCTGAAATTATCCCAGTGCCTACGAATGAATTCGAGGAATTCTTATCGAATCAATGAGGTGTCATAAGACCTTTTGCTTTCTATTATATAATTGCAGCCGAGATCTGCGATCGTTGGTGGCCACTGTGGTAATTACGAACCATGAAATTGGACTCTTTAATGTCAGTTTGTGTGATTCTTGGGAAGATGTTAATTTTGGATAAAACGAGCATATGAGTTTCGTCGAATTACGATTGCGCACACTGAGTTAAGTTTCTTCTACTTGGTATAGTGATAGAGCATAGTGGCTGTGTTAGCTGGCCAAAATAGTTCAAGACTTGCGGGGAAGCCGAAGTTCACGACGAAGATGATGAGATTGAATTACTTTCACGTGTTACTCAATAGGATTTTGACTTCTTCTGTGCGAATCGAATGTTCCACAAAGATTTTCATATTGACTTTTTTTTAAATGAGTGAAAAGTTACTTCATTTTAAGTTAGTTACACAGACAATTCAACCATTTGAACAAACCATCAGACGTTTCACCATCGGCACGGCTCAAACCTCGGTCACTTCATTGCCTTGAAATTTCAAGAAGCTCGAGCTCCCGATATCTTACTTTTATTACTTGAGCCAATCGTCATTCTCCTAGTCCCATGTGTTCGATATTCGCCTCCCCGCCAGTTTCTTGAGGAGACAAATCGAGGACATATCATTTCCAAACAAACCAGTCTCCGTAACTCCTGGTGTTGAAACAATGAATGGAAAATTACATTGTGATATAGTATCGCAAAACAAATTCGTGGCATATTTTGTATTTCATTAGTGACGGTTTACTTGACACTGAGTCGAAGTACAATTCACAGACAATGTTGTTTCGGCAGGATTTGATTCCAACCCAATTAGCCAGTTTATTTTTCTACACTGACCCGTAGAATGTTCCTGTCAAACATTTCTTCGTGAATGGAAGGGCCACGACAAGATAACATCAGTACAATGGAAGGTTTTAGATTCTGTTAGAGTAACCAGGAAGTTTACTGAATTGCTCTGTTTCGTTCTTATAAATCAGCGGTAAATAAATTTATTTGATGATATCGCCATGTTAATACTATTCTCCTTGTTCCTGTTAGTATTACATATCACCTGTCATCGTTCTATCTATATTTATATTCTAGATAATGCTATATATACTTTACTGTATACAATAAAACCCAACACCATCTACTTGAAGGATTTATCCTTTTGTGATAATCCCATCTACATTATTGTTCTAATACCAACAGCAAAGTCTCCGTTCCAGTTTTCAATGCATGTCTGTGGTAATATCTATGCTCGAGTGGTATTATCTCTTTGGCAGTATTTGGCTCATCTCAATCTCCTGCATTTCAAAAATTGAGGTAGCTTGAAATGCATGGATCGAAATTGGAAGGGTTTTCTTCTAGGCCGGCTGAGGTTATTGTATCGTATGTTTGTTGTGATGTCATCACGATACATTATTATACTGGAAGTATTTCTACAAATATTAACAATTTATTTTCAATAAAATTATAGAAAGTTATTATACATATAATCATATCTATTAATAGGGTTTTAAGTATATCCCTAGAACATACATTCATCTATTATCGTCAAGGTCCTCTCTCATTTTCGAATACGAATTCAGGCAGACTTGAAGTAATTACCGGCTTCGTAGCAATTGAAATCGGTGTAAATATTTAGATGCTCTCAATAAATTCCATGATATTTTCGAACAACGTGTGGGGTAAAAATTACTACGTCTGAGTATAGATATTTCATGTGATAGTTTTATATATTAGAATTGATGTGTTACATTAGGATTTATAGACCGGATTCTATATCGTGTGAACGGAGTTAGTCTTTTTAAGGGGGGTTTAGCGACATCATTGTATGTTATTGATCTGTCTGTAATCTACGGAGTATGGTATTCCGATTGCGTTCCGGAGATAAATCGTGAACGAAAGGTAAATCCGAAGCTAATCATACGTCATTCAACTTTCTCTATGGTATATATCTTCAACGAATACTCCCCACGAACAAATATAGCATATAAATGTATCAATTCCTTCCAAGAATTAGGTCAAACATCCAAAAACAATAAAAATGCTACCACTCATCACCCTCGAGGAGCACTATCTATCCTCTGCAGTTCTTGCCGCTCAACAAGCAAGCGGTGCTCCGGACCCATTTGCGAGCTTTCCAGCTCAATTAACCAGGAAATTAAAATCGCTTGATGATGAACGCATCAAGGATATGGATGATGGGAATATTTCACTACAGATCCTTTCCCATGGTCCTATGGATCATGCTCCTTCAAAACTTTGCCAACAAATCAACGATGAACTCGCGGCAGCTATATCCAAAAACCCCACCCGATTAAAAGGCTTTGCAACTCTTCCCATGGGATTTCCCATAGAAGCAGCTCAAGAATTAGATCGTTGTATAAATAAACTCGGTTTCGTGGGAGCATTAATTGACAACCATCTTGACGGGAAATTTTACGACGATGAAAAATTCTGGTGTGTATTCGAGAAAGCTAGTGCTTTAGATATACCCATATATATCCATCCGAATTTCACGTCCGAAAAAGAAATGGGTAAATATCGTGGGAATTATCCAGAGGATATCGCAACCGCGCTTAGTAATTGGGGATTAGGCTGGCATTTTGATACTGGGCTTCATTTTCTGCGTCTTTATGCTGCGGGGTTATTTGATCGTTTTCCGGATGTTAAAATTGTGTTGGGACATATGGGGGAATTGCTCCCGTTTAATCTTGAGAGGATATTTAAGGTAGCGGGGAGATGGGGAAGGAATAAGAGTTTGGAAAGCGTCTGGGAGGAGAATTTGTGGATTACTACTAGTGGTATGTTTTCGTTGGCGCCGTTGGTGTGTTTGGTGCAGTCGAAGGGGAGGGATAAGATTTTGTTTAGTGTTGATTATCCGTTCTCTGGGAATGAGATGGGAAGGGAGTTTGTGGAGAAGGTGGTACAGAGTGGATTGTTTGGGGATGAGAAGTCGAAGGAGATGAGAGGTTTTGCGTTTGAGAATGCGGAGAGGTTGTTAAAGGTTAGGATTGTGGATAGAGGTGGTGTTTGAGGATGAGAGATAGTGGCAGTGATGATTTATGGTGCGTATTATGATTCATCTGTGTATAATGTGATAAAGATGGACTTCTCGGCTCTATTTCTCGTTGAAAAATTACAGATTCAGCAATTACTCCTTCAAAGCTACTCCATTCTCATGTATCCGGTTAGGAAATTGCATATTTAGCAACTATACACGGATAACCTTATAAAATTCGATTGCCTTGATGCATTTTGCCTTAATTTGCAAATTGAGGGTTCAATGACCAAATGTTCTGTGAAAAGGGAATGAGGTCGTTGGTGCTCTTTCCAAGTTGTGTTTGAGCTCCTTCCCTTTGGGAATTTGGCTTTACGCACACACCGATCTACACAGCCAGGAAAATCTTCTTCCATATTTCATCCTCTTCCATATTTCATCCACATCTTCTAAAATTTTCCAATCTTCAAATCATCCAATGTTCTTTAAACCACGAACAACATGTGCTTCTCATTGTCAACCAAATCCTCACTTGGCGATTTGGATCTTCATCAAAATAATCATTGCGTCAATTTTCCATAATATTCACTTAGTCTTCAGCTTAGAATCCCCTATCACTTATCGAACCACAAAGTCTTGGGTAACTTATAATTTACAACTTCTCAGCCTGTGATCTACAATTCCTTTTATCTTTTATCCTCCAGCAAACTGGTTAATCTACAATCATCGAAATAGAAGTGGTAGATGGGAACGCCCCTTCTGATAGGATTTTCATAATCTTACATGCGAGATCGAGTCTACAATCCTAATTGCTGCTATCTCTCTTGCCCACTGCCATTTTCCCGAAATCTATACTTCGATCAAGCTCAAGATTTACCTCATCTTTAAAATCAAATACCCCTCACACCTTTTCCCATCTTTATTCACTTCTTTTAGCTTAAGAACGGAAGAGTCTTTCTTATCTACTACTTTCCCACTTCCACACTCTTTCAAGTTTTTCAACAACAACAAGCTCCATCTACAATATTACCGCCGATCTACCTCGACTTCTCTCGCTTCTTTTATTGCTTTTATCTTTTGCCTTCAAACCTATCTTCTTCTATTATTTACTTCCTTTAACTTATCGTTAACTTTGCTAGTATTCAATTATGGCTCCAAGAGGTCCTCGTAAGCAACACCAACGTGGTGAGGAGGTCCATGTTGTTGGTGACGCCAACAATCATGCATTCAAAGCTCAAGCGGTCAACAGCAGAAAGAGACCAATCAAGCCTCAACCTTCAGCTGATAAAGATACAATTGCAATTGATTCTGATGATGAGCCACGCAAAAAAGCTCGTCCAGGTATGCGGAAGTCTCCAAGTTCCCACTTCTTAGGGGAGATAATGCAGACAAAAAAAAAAGGCTGCAGTTTTGGATAACTAACTCCTAAATAGATCCTCGTTCATCAGCAGCGAAGCTCCGTGCGCCTAAGCAAGACGAAAGACCAACCGAGTCCAGTGAGGAAGAAGTCGGCAGCTCCCCAGAAGTCATTGCACGCCCAAACTTACCTCCAACAAAACTTTTGCAGCCATTCGCAGATAAAGATGCTGATGTATATATCGTACTAATTAATAAGAGCCCCGACCATTCATACAGGATGCACTCAAATATATTGAGGCGTGCCTCATCTTGGTTTGCTTGGGAACTACATGAGGAGTTCAGCGATGAATTGCGTCCAAAAGTAGTAGCTACGATCACTAAAGAGACTGGAATCGAATATAGATTTGAAATCATATTTGATGCTAAACTCAAGCACCATGTGTTGAAACGCAAGGTAAAAGGTTTTCTTTTCCCTGCTAAAAATCATGCACTATGGTTTGAAATCGGAAAAATCAGACTAATTCTACAGGGACTCACAATGTACAAGAACCCGCCCCAGGCGATCGCCAGTAGAGCTATCTGCACATTTGACGCAAACAGACATCCACTTCCTACCAATAGTACATGCCACACTCGTGATTCGTCGTTATTTTTGCCACAATATGATGGCTCATTTGACGATGTCGGAATGGGGAATATGGCTGGTGGCCCTGAAGCAGCTGTTCATCTTGATACCCGAAGTTCCATTTCATTCCTTGGTACTCTTCAGCCATCTTTTCAACCATCTCTTCAGAACCAAGCCAACGCACATCAAGAGAAAGGAGATAGCATTAAGCTAGGGGAAGGTACAGCCACTCAGTTGGGCGGTGTCGATCCTACTCCCCAAACACAAAAGGTTATGGGGGAGCAGGTTGTTACACCACCTTCAAGCCCCACCAAAGTAGGAGCTGGAACTGAAACGGTCCATATGATTTCTGAAAACCCCCAAGTCCATCTAAGCTCTAAGATTTCTCCTGAAGGAGATACCATCGCGCCACTTGAGAATCCAATGAAAGCAGTGATTGAGCCCGAGAGAGGGATGTTCTCAGAAAACCTTTCAATTGCACGAAGCTCGACAGAAAGACAATTTGAGATAGAGATTGGAAATGCAAATGACAAGATTGATGAACAGTGTCAGCCAAAACTCCAGCCTAACCAGCTTCCATCAAGTCATCAAGTCCTTCCTGAAGAACAACTTCAGACTACTGTCTTTTCGGGAAACACAATAGGGGCGGAAATCAAGGTTGAGCAAAACCAGCAAGTAACGGACCCAATGTCAAAAGTACTTCCAAGCATTAGAACCTCGCCTGAAAACCAGATTGAGGTTTCCCTTGATGAAACTTTGATGGTAGAAGAGCCACAACAAGGCAACAATCAAACTATACAAGTTCCTGGTGCTCACGTTTCCCCTGCCAGACAAACTGAAGCTCCTGCCGATCCGAGTTTGACAATCGAAGGACCGAAGCAGGCACCAAGAATCTTTCCACAAATGTCTCTCGGTGCTCAAGAGTTGTCGGAAAGAGAGGCTGAGGCTCGTGTGAATGGCAAATCAATGGCTGAGGGAGAGCAACAACCCAAGCTTGATCAGATTATGAACGAATCGTCTTCTAAAAATCATTCTGCTCTTAAGACCGTACTCCCTACCACGGAGAAGCCAAACAATAATACGCAAAACCAGGGCCCACTAGTACAACAAGCTACAACACTACATTCGGATGTCCTCGAGGCATACCACTCCCTCTTCCTCTGCTACTACAATTGCCCTCCAACGATCTCTACGACGGATGTGTCAAATGCGACGAGACAGTCCAACCTATTGATCAAGCTCGCTACACTCTACGGCTCGTTGAAGATTGTTAGACCTCATATAATTGCCTCCCTCCTTTCTCAAGGCCGCAATCTATACTCAGCCATTCGTCAAGACCCTCCTCGTTTTCTGATTTTGGCAGACAAGCTACAATGCACCACCATCTTCAAGGAAGCCCTTGTCCACATAGTTGGACAATTACCTTCCTGGCCATGGCCCACACCACAAGATCGGATTGATGTTGCACTCAGCAGATGTATCAACAAGAAAACCCAGGAACTTCGAGACAAGAAACACAAAGTCGCTGGCGCTCTTTTCCGAAGCTGTCTCGTAAAGGATGGCGTGAGAGTTAGTATCAATAACTTGGACAAGAAGACCTTTGATTTGTGGGTTATGGTACAAATCTGGCACGATTGGTTCTCTCAACAGTTACATAGATGCGCTCATGCTCGAATTCACGAATATGCGAGCGTGGAGAAGAACATGTATAAGTTGCTGGCTCAAGGAGGCGATGCTTATCTCAAGATCGATGATGTTATGTCAATGGTTGAACAATTCAAAGCCGTATCCGAGTCCAGAGAGTGGGGACATTGGGAAAAGGACGAAGTTGAGTTGCAGCTGAATATCATGAAGGAATATGCTGCGAAGAAGGTAAAGGGTTTCATGGTAAATGAGTTGATGGGTGATAACAGCGGAGTTAATGGCGAACTCGCATATCTCACTTGCACCAAGGTCGATGATTATGAGTTGCCCTGGACTGAAAGCCAGATTATAGAAGACTAGAGCCAAAATTGAGAATGGAGCGAAGTATCGGAATGAGTGCGAGGGGTAGTGGGAATTCGGAGCTGTTCAACAGTGCAGAAGGTATTCAAAGACAGGAAATTACTTGTGCAAGTTGGTATTTTCCACCTATGAATATTCCGGCGCAAGTAAGCGCCGGCACATATTTTTTCTCTTATTTATCTTGCGAAGTATCATTATCATTTTATTTATTTCCTTTACTTGATGAGAGATGGATGGATGGTAGGTGGGTGGGATATTACTTACTTTTTAACAAACAACCAAATATCAGATATGGGCTGCTTTTACCAAAGCAGACGGGATACGCATACATGAAGAAATCAGGGAAAAATGAACATCCAGAGGGGATAGTTTAATAGGTTCAATTAATGAAAATTTCCTTTATAATGATGATATGCTGTTGTTCTTTGCTCTTAGCATAAATCATCATAAATATGACCTTTTGGACAGTGATGATACATGTTAATTTAAACCATCAATGGACTCCCCTGCTCCATATGCTCTAATCCAGTCCGTCGTCCAGCCTGTATAACGCCATCATACCAAACTTTTGTATAAACCCATCCATCCATTATAGTATTTCCGCACCGCCATATCATCATTTCAAGCTCCCTCCAAATAGATCGCGCTCCTCTTTTAGTCTCTGCTCACGTTCCATCTTCCTCTTTTTAATAACCTTCTCGTCTTCTTCGCCTCCTTCTTTTCCATCTGCTCCTTCTCGTTTCATCCTCTGTAGCCCGACTAAATCTGCTTTTTCGGGATTTCGACATTTCCTCAATTTCTTAACTAAGGCTTGGATCTCTTGTCTCTGTTCGGGAGTTTGTTCTTCCGGGATCGAGGATAGAATTTGAGCGAGGTCTTTGATTAGTGTGAGGAGTTTTTGGTGAGTTGATGTTGATGTCGCGGTGTTCGTATCTGGGTTGGAGGGATTGTAGGATTTAAGAGCGAGGTAGAATGTTGTTAAGGGGGCTGAAGCGAGGTAGAGAGATGCGAGCATTATTTGGGAGGGGGTGTAGTGGAAATAGGCATCGCATAGTAGAGCGCTATTTTTGAGATATCGGCGTGCGACTCCGTGGCTTTCTAATACTAGTTTTTGCATGTTGGCAGGTCGTTGCGGTTCCAGTTCGGGCGGGACGGGGATTTTGTGGGTGGAGATGGAGAGGAGTTCCATGATTGCTCCTTCAAGACCGCGGTAGGGGTGTCGGATGTCGAATTGGAAGCGGATTCCTTGGGTGAGGAGGAATTCTGAGGAGAGAATTTCTTCGGTGGTGGTTTTGCCGATGTCGCTGGCGAATCTGGTGATGCGGAAATAGTGATTTTCGGTTTTTGTAGAGAAGAAGAGGGCGGTTTTTAGAATAGTGGTGGGAGAATATGTCATTAGACTGTGGCTTATATAGAACCGACGGATGTATTGGATTGCGGTGGCCTGTAATTGAGAAGAACGTTAGAGATATGTGAACAAAGACAAGCTGCGATTTGCGAGACATCTACCGCGCCCTACTGGGAAAAGTAGCCTGTCTGATGAGATAAGGCCGGCATCAAGCAAGCCCTTCTAGCAGAATTGAAAGACTTTCAAGTGAGAACAACACACCTTAACTTCAATCGGCACACCCAAATGATCCCCCAATTGTAGCGTCTGCCTACAATAATAGTCCATCAACTTCAACTCCTCATCCACGGTCAAACAATCCACATCGCCCTCTGGCAAAGCAGTGCTATTCGACCTGCTATTCTCCGCTTCACTGTTATCATTTGAGGATGCAGCCCTGGCTTCTCGGGCGCGTCGAACGGCATCTCGAACTTGTATTGTGGCTAGGGCATTTGTGCTTTCGCGCAAGGAGCGGAGTGCGGAGGGTGTGTAGGACCAGTGTCGATATTGAGTAGAAGTGCGATAGCGGGCGTCTTCGGTGGACATGATGAAAGTTAGTGGAGGTGATAATGTTTCATGGTTAAATTGTGAGGTGATTGATAGTATGAGGTATTGGTGGGGTGAGGGAGCTTAGGGCCAGGGATATTCGGAAATACTTTATTCCGCCGATTGGCTCGTCATACGTCAACATCACCACAATGTTTTCAAAAATATATAAACTAAGTTTTAAACATGTACATATCAAATAGATTGTGGTAAGCGGAAAATGTATTGATAATTTGTAATGTCACTATCAGGAGCCTGATATAAAAGTGTCACGTCGTTTCCAATATACAGAATTACCAAAATATCAAATATCTATCAAACGGAAGCCCGAGCCGAGGCACCGAAATACATTCAAGAAATATCAAACGACGAAAAGCCCAAAGAAATCCATATTAATTTTCCATCAATTTATGATGATATAACTAAAGCAATTCATCAACATGTATCGCTCCATTCTTCAGCTTCAACGAGTTAGTCGTGTTGCTTCTCGTCGCACCTACAGTAATGTGCCTGAGATAAATCCCGTGTCTATTTTACCAACAAAAGATAATGGCCAAAACACAGTTTCCCGGGCGCCTGGTGTCAGAAACCAGGGGGACAAATCTACGGGTAAACATGAGGATAAATCTGGGCCAGGTCCATTCAATCGTTTGAACTTGACAAATGATGAATATCCTTCATACACACGCACCAAAGGTCAATTTCTTCAAGATACCACTCGTGGCTCACCGTCAGAGCTAGACAATGTATATCCTTCATACAAACGCGCAAATAAACAATTTATTCTTGATACCACTCATGGTCCACCTGTGCCTTTACGGAAGGATAACCGACCTCCAAATTTCATACGGCCTCTTCTCAGTCATGGACTCTCAGCGCAGGAAAAAGCAAATGAGGAGTCAATTAACTCTATGGCCGACCTTGGAGAAGAGATTATTCATCCAAAATTAGGAAAAGGTTATCGGGAGAATTCTCGCTTGCTTGACAATGGAGCATTCGTGCCAATCAATTTTGTTGATGGGCCTGATTCGATGTAGGTGCATCCGCCCATCTTTGTTCGTAATTTCAAGGGCTAATGGTTTAATAGTCCACGTCGGTGGCTTAGGTAAGAAAAAGGAGAACTTAATGGAGCTAAATGATTTTTAACCACTAAATTCATGATATTTTAGAGATAATTGTCGTTGTGCAAAATGCAGACGTCCTGATACTATGCAGCGAGAAGTAAACATATTCTCGGTAAATATCCCAATCATCAGTATGAGATAGTTTCTGACAGTTACAAGTCTGAGCTCGAGATACTCCCCAATTCTATAAATCGGGCCAAACATGAGGGTCTTGAAGTAACATGTATGCACTTAACCCTACATTCAACTTCAATGCTGACCTCGCACAGGGCTGGATAGCGTAGGTGACGATGCTAAGCCAGATCATGTTACTGTTTACCCATGGGATTGGCTCCACAAATATGAGGTTTACCGCGACGCAAGTAAATTTCAGCGAGTTAAACCTACGCTTTTAACTGCCAAGCGGGAATTAGTTGCTTCAGCGGAAGAAGGAAGTATAATACCTGATCCAGAGTAAGCCTGTGTCACTCATCATGTTCTGCAGTATTTTGACATATTTTACAGTAGCCATGAAGTTGTCCTTTGGGACTCGATTATCGGAAAACACCCACCTACAGTCAACTACGATGAAGTCATGGCTAGCGACACTGGTGTGGGGAAATGGACACGCATGATTGTGAGTTCCTTGATATTTTCTGTTTTCCAAATACCAATTACTCATTAGTAATTTTCTCAGCATAACTATGGTTTCTGTTTCGTAGATGGAGTTCCAGTCTGCCCTGAAAAGACTCAAGAGCTTCTCGAACGCATCGCTTTCATTCGCCCCACACACTACGGTAAAATCCAGGCACTTCAAATCCATTGGTTTTCATGATTAGCTGACCTCTCTAGGTGGTTTCTACGACTTCACATCTGATCTGACAATGAAAGACACAGCCTATACCAGCGAAGCCATTGGTCCCCACACCGACACAACCTATTTCACCGACCCCGCCGGTCTCCAAATGTTTCATCTCCTCTCTCACACCGAAGGCACCGGGGGCGAATCCCTCCTCGTCGACGGTTTCTGGGCCGCCCGCTCACTTCGCAATCGCTACAAAGATTCTCTGTCAAAAATAGCTGTCCCTTGGCATGCTAGTGGTAATGATGGCATTAATATTACTCCCAATAGGCCATATCCCGTTCTCACGATGAATACGAATCGTAGAGCGACGCAGATTCGATGGAATGAGGCGGATAGGGGAACTATTCATCCGGGGTACTCTCAGGAGTGGTACGAGGCGGCAAAAACGTTTAATGATAGGGTTAATGATCCGAGGTTACAGTATTGGTCGCAGCTCGTACCGGGACGAGCTTTAAGTGAGTTTTTAAGCATTCGTTTTTGGAATCTTTAGTGGCTGATTCTCGGGTAACAGTCTTTGATAACTGGAGAGTTCTTCATGGAAGATCAGAATTCACGGGTAAAAGACGTATTTGTGGTGGATACAGTAAGTTGGAATTATCCCTAATATCGTTCACTAAATGATCTGAGATACTGATACAACACAGTTAACCGTGATGACTACGTGTCGAGATACTTGAACACAAACTTCACCCGAGAACAAATCTTGGAGAAGATACTATGATTGGGGATATGATGGATATTTTCAATATCTCTTCACTAGGCAGCACAGTGAATATGACATGCGCTCAATAAATGACAGCGGTCTAGCTCCTCGATCTATAACTCTGCAGAAGTTTACAGTGACTTTTCTATTTGAAGCACAGGGTTTCAGTGATGGGGACTACTGGAAGCCCTGGCCGATCACGCACGTCGAGAAAAATATGCTCGAATCGAGAAGCATGATGCAAGTGCAGGCTTCTCTTTCACTACGTATACCTTTATCGAAAAGCTGCATGTTTTACTGTTTCATATGATCTTATAGCCCGTGTTTCTTTGGCCCCTATATCTCTCCTTCGAGAAAATAATCAAGCATTGTAATGGGAAGCACTGACCTTTTCGCCAATCAGTTTTTTTGACTTACAATCCTACTTTGTAATCAACACCAGCGCTCACTAATCATAGCATTTTATTTTGTGTAGATGGATAACGCTGTGTTGAGTTGCTAATTGTGACCTAGTTCTAATACCAAGACAATCCACTTTTCTCTTTAATAAGTGCTGCAATCAGTGATCTTTCAGTCATGCCTTGCTAAACTAATCCGCTCAATCATATCCCATCTCCTGTTTGTCCTAGATGCCGGCCTTTTATGCCTGCGACGCTGGAAGCCAGTGATTGCCTATAAAATGACATTGAAGGAAAATTGGGAACCAGGGCTTCGAAGCTGAAGCTTATGCTATGGCGAGTACTTTCGGAAAAAAAACCCAGATAACCATCTCTTTGCCAAATCTCAATTGAGACATGAAGAATGCCATAAGGCTCTCTTATTGGCAAGCGCATTTCTGTCCTTGCATTACTCTCCAAGTCCTCTTCTGCGATTTTCAGCAGCTTTGCCCAGTTCGCAAGATCCTTTGCCCTTTTGTTATGCATGAAAAACCTAGCTTGCAATTTCGCTACCGTGTCTGAAATGCGGGGATTTTTGTGGCCATTGTGATTGTTGGCTTTGATATGAAATAATGTGACTGTCCATTTGCTCCATTAGCTGTGCAAACATCGATTCAGACTCCGAACTCACGATTTGCTATTTATTCGAATTATAGCAATGTGAATTTTGCGCTTTGGATTGTTTTGGCAGTGGAGAGGTTGAGGTAGGATGATTGTTGTTTGTTGTTTGTCCCTAACACGACTCTCCCTAATCTTGTAGTATTAGTACAGGAGAAGAGAGATGGTTATTGACTAATACCTTAACAACAATCCTTATTATGAACGACCTTAAGCAACACCTTTGTGGTCTCGGGGGCACTGCTCGCAAGTCCCTGCACTCTCAAAACCCAGAAAGCCAGAAGGAGGATTTCAATCTGCAAAAGCACCCCCAAAGTGCCAAGCACGAGCGTCACGTTAGTGATTGTAGATTCCATTGCTTTTTATAGATAGATTTTGTTCAGATACTGGTAGACTGGTAATTAGGCAAACAGGGACGGGGAGCAAACTGTTCAAAAGAATGGCAGCTGGGAATGCGAATGGTAAAATAAAACAGAAGTCAAAAGAGAAAGAGAAAGAATAAAAAGAGTGATGCTTGTCAATTCTGATAATATTTGGTTAAATTATACCGTAGTATTGATAATGTTTTGCAAGTTTGATTTTTGAATAATTGTTTTGCTCTCTAGATGTTCCAAAGCTTTGGTGAAGTGATTTGCGTCGCATTTCCTAGGGGAGTACGAATAGAGCAAGAACTCTCAGCATCTAAGGTAGCATCAGTTGATCCTATCTGCTCTTTCCTTTCCATGCTCCTATTAGTATTTTTCTCTTTCCTTAGCCTTTCTGAAAAATAATCAGAAATGAGGAATCTAAACAATCGTGTCCCAACACGAGATACAACTAGAAAGACATTCATAGCTTTGTACGCCTATCAATTTAAAGCCTCCGAGGAGCTTTTCTGTATTATCTACTTGTTTCGAGGAACTATCTGTGATTCTTCATTCCATGTATTTGTTATACATCAGGTAACTTCAGCTCATTGCCAATTATGCATTTACATCATCTGTTAGTTCACTAATCCACAATTACCACCTCTGAAGTTCGAATAGAAGTCATCAAGTCGCCTCAAAGCAAGGTCATCGTACACACTTCAGTTCTATTCTAGTCTTACTACGAGGTAGGTCTCATTTTCCACCATTTCCCATAATCACCCGCCTGTGATCAGAATATAGAAGAGGGAGCATTAAGACTCTAATTTTATGTCGAAATTGAAATGTGGTAGGGAGTTTATGGAAGGTTGCGTGTGCTAGAATCAAAGGAGTACAAATTGAAAGACCTCAGAATTTGTATTATCGCTACAATGAGATAATTACACCAATTAGAATACCACAAAAGCCAAACCCTCGTCTTCAGTAGCTATTCTTTTCCATGCATGGTAGGCCACATCTTGCAACGAGAATGGACCCAATCTCGTCTGTCAAAGCATCAGCAGTCTATCTAAACAAGCGGGAAGACAGAGCAGAAACTCACAACCACAAAGCCGTCCAAGCACGAGACTCGCGTCATCGTCAAAAAGACTTTACACATGATATCAAAGATTGAATGTTCGATTAGATCACTTAGCTCCTCATTTGAGGGTTCCCAGCTAGCACGCAACGAGGACGTGTGATCAAGGCTAGCCACCCTATAGATGAATTAGTAGTTAGCGAGGGGGAAATGCTTAACAAATTATACCATATCCTCCACCTATGATTAGCTCTCATGAAGCCTTATTGATTGAGCTTTCAATGAGATTGTCCTGAAGCCAACCCCAGCCAAGGAGATATCGCCAAAACACTTTCTAATAAAAGTGAGAAGCTTCAGCCAAGGAGATATCGCCAAAAAACTTCCTAAAATAAGCGAAAAGCTTCAGAAAAAAACGAGACAAGGCCAAGGGGTATAGCATGAACAAATCACCTAAGTGAAAAGTTCGACAAGCATTCCCCCGAGAGCCAAGTTCGTGAAAATAATCTCGTCGAGTAACTGGACGAGAACAGTATAAATCCATCGAAATGCATCGAATATCCTGCTAGTCTTATCGAGCGCAGCTAGGATTGGGGTTGAAAAGATTCGATTTTTGCAAGTCGAAGTGGATAGAGAGGTCGAATCAACATTTTGTATAAACAATATGTTAGAAAAGTGATGTGATTCGAATGTCGAGTCAAAAAAGAATCTCTGCTTGTCATCTCGAGAGCAGCAGACGGCGCATTCTTTCCTGACTCGACGAAGGTAGGGTGTGGAGGATTGAAGATGTGAAGCGAGATGATGATTAAGTGAGTTTTAAAAGAGTTGAGGTTTGAGAGAGCTGTGTTGACTTCCACAACGCGCTGCACAGCTCTCATTTGAACTCTTTGATATAGTATAATATAACCTGTGACCTGAACCCTTCCTGGAATATGGTGGTGGAATCGGAGGAGTGGAATCGAAGTGGGAGTCGCTCGGCGACTTGGGTCTGGGATTATGTAATGTGATTAGCAAATGTTTCAAGTCAAAAGGGGGGAGGGGGTTGAACTGACCTCATCTGGAGAAATTTTTAACTAAAGTCAAGCGATCACAGCTCGTATGTCTCTAATCTGTAAACCGTTAAAGAGCAAATGTAAGACAAAAGGGGGGTTAAAATGACCAAAAAAAAAGCAAAAAAAAGCAAAAAAAAGAAAACAAAGGAAAAAAAGGGAAAAAAGGAAAGAAATAATGGCTCGCCGGCCTCCCCCAAATAATGACAAAGGAAAGAAATATATACAAGATGCGATTTTCGCTCTATTGGTGATTGTTTTGTGATGCCTTGAAGGATTTATATTCAGGGTACCAATCTGAAAATCTATTCCAACAAGGCCCTTATTTTAAATATTTTTTTGGAGATGGCTGATAAAAGCACATCTATTTTGATGAAAAAAAGAAAAGGAATACTAACCTGGTGTCCGGGGATTCCAGGAAGGGTCAGGTCACAGGTTAGTAGTTAATAGAAGATACGGTGCATTAATGTCCACCATGATTGATGCAACCGTATCTTCTATATTGGTCCCGAAGGACATAAAAGCCCAGAGCATATTCTTCTGCTTCGAGAATAGCATCAGAGAAGTCTACCTCCGGATCTAAAAATCCCTCGGAAAGACTCTCTCTGCACTTAGTGCAGCATGCATTCTCGTCGCAGGATTCGAATGTGCCCTGGGCGATTGGGGGGAGAAAAACTCCATCCCGTTTAGTAAACCATCCAGTAGCACTACCTTCTTGGTCTCTTTCCTCAACAAGAGGAAAGGTCTCGTGAGGGCAACGCTTCTGACCCAAGTATTTCTTGTGATAGTTTCTCATTTTCCCAGGGACCACATAAGTGATCACCTGTCCATGGATACTATCACTGCTTGGTCCTGCAAAGCTAACTCTTTTCGCAGGGCGAGAAGAGGAACTTTTGAAGCAGGACTTCAGCTGAGATACAGGGGCATTCTTCATCTGGACTTCAGTTGAAATAACTTCAGAAATTTCGGCATATACCGACGCATCTTCTGTCATTTCAACATCCGTCATGGTGATGTCGGATGAGATGGTGTTGTTTTGTTGCGCGCCAGCAACAGAAGAAGAAAAACAAATGACTTTCTTGATGGGTTGAAAGTAAGAAAGTCGATCCATTAATCTTCTTCTCTCCATGGGAGAAAGAGTGACCGGTCTAATGACAGGTCTTCTCTTGATCTCTGGAGAAGCAGAGGCTATCATGGTTGAACCGGCAAGCTGTTCAACTCGAGTCATCTTCTTGGTAGAAGATGAAAGCAACGAGTTGGGTTACCTGGGGCTCAGGTAGCGACTGAGTAATAGGTTGAGGAGCAACCTGGATGGCAACAGGTGTTTCCTCGAGAGGGAGAGGGTTGGAGATGAGGTAGACACAGGCAGCAACCACAAGGGTTGTGCCCATGACTTGTAAGAAAGAGATAAAAGACATTGTAGTGATTGATGTTAAAAACAAAAATCGGCACGCCGACTTAGAGAAGAGAGAAAAGAGTGAGGTGAGCGTGAGGTAGGAAGTTAGGTATCGATGAGTTGGTAGCTCAAAGATAAAAGAGGTAAGAGGTAAGAGTGAGGTAAAAGTGAGGTAAGAGTGAGGTAAAAGTGAGATAAGAGTGAGGTAAAAGTGAGGTGAGAGTGAGTTAAAAAGTTGGGTATCGATGAGTTGGTAGCTCAAAGATAAAAGCAGTAAGAAGTAAGAGTATGCAGTAAGATAAGTTTGAAAGTCAAAGTAATCAAAAGTGCATAAGCTTGTAGAGAGAAAGGAAGAAAAAAAAAGAAGAAACAAAAAGGAAGGAGAGGGCAGCGACTGGTTTATAGGAAATTCTGAATGGCAAACAAAGCTAAATTCGTTCAATTATTTAGTTAGGTGCTAATAAACACTGAAGTCATCTATGTATTTAAGGTTTTTCTTGACAATAGTGGCAGCAACGGCTCTCTTTGCTTTGGTCTCTTAGCAACTAAACCGACATCGGTAAGCTTAGATAAAGTTTCCTTATTTCTTCTAGGTGGATTCATGAACTACTTGGGCATCGAAGATCTTGTTAATTAGCTCTGATATGCCGGTACGATATTGAGAGGTTTACCTGCTTAGCCATCTCTTCCCACACACTTCACAATCGTTGAACTATGATACAGCCTTTCAACATAGAAACTGATCATGTGAATTATGATTCCATTTTTTCACATGCACATATATAAATTCAACATCAAACTCGTACATTTGGTAAATGAATTCTGATAATGCATGCTCACTATCATCATGAAAATGCCGATGTCAACAAAGCTATCATGGAAGCTATCATAGAAGCTAAGACTTAGCTCAACTATAAAAATAGGGCGAGCTAGAAGAATTATAGTACTATGACTATTGCTTAGCTGACCTTTCAAAATTTTGATATCGTCAAGATCAAGCACCATGTACTGAATTGATCTTCGAGGCCAGGTCTAGAATGAAGTTGTAGATAAGTGCAAGATAATTGCAAACTTAGTCTCACCCACTTCAAAAAACCGTACTGAATTTCAGGATAAAAGAACACTTTTCATACTCCGGACTCATATCATGCTGTGCTAAAATAACACCTCCAAAGTTGAAAGAATGACCTAATTACATATATATGCATATTACACCAGCAAACAAGTTCCCATGAAATTCAATTCACTCGTACCAACGATACTCAGTAGATAAATAAAACAAAATCATATGCCGAGCATAGTACGCACATTATAAATAAAGTTCAAGACCCTTATTTTAGCTCTCGAACTAGTCACGACAAGGGGCAATCTAGATTGATTGTTATCTTCACTAGCCTCCTAAGTACCGAACTAGTCGAAAGCTTAAATAGACAACATAGCCGATTGAACTAATTCACCAAAAAGACAATATGACGACAAGATCTTATAATTATGTAAACAATGATAGTCATACTGAGGGGTGATATGATGTGATGCAGGATTATTAAACTCCACCGTAGAGCTTAGCATTCGGCAATTCTCAATAATTCAATGAACCGCATCAAAATGTTGTCTCCTATCTGCAGCCCCTTATCCAAAAATTTGAAAAGCAATGCTGCATCTTTCTTTGTTTTTCCTTTGCAGTTCACTAATATGCCTGAGGCTGATGGTTACATGATCGATTCCTATCATCTACACGAGAAAAATTGATAACGGACGACATAATAGCCTGCCAGAAGCATCACTTCTCACACCTAATCAAGTACTCTGGCTTCTTTCTTCAACCCGACGAGATATATTAAACTTCTACCATGTAGTTCCCATTACAAGCACCCCTCCCATCTAACCCATACATATCCATCCTCAACCGCTCGGTCTTATAAGACTTGATGAAAGAATAAACAATACAGACTCATAAAATTCCATCACTTCCATACCCCCTAGTATCTCTATCATGAAAGATCCCAGCGCAATTTTTCTCGATTCTTCTCCTCTGACATCTTTCATGCTACCCCCTACACTTACAACCCCCTTAAAGTGACCCTCGAGTAGAACTCCCGAGTCAAAGAAAATAAC